AGCTCCTTGGTTTGAAGCTGGGCCTTGTGTTTGAGCTTGCTTGCATGGGCTTCCACGTCAATGCCTTCGGGGCCGAATTGCACCCCAAGATATTTGAAGGTGGAGCGGACAAACTCGAGCGGTGTGTTGTTGAGGATGACAGGTGCCGGGTTGGCCTCTGCCGTTGTGACTTCGCATTTGGCTGGCGCGAACATGTAATGATGCTCCGCCGCATGCGCTTCGGATATCCTGATGAGGCTCTGCAGGTCTGCGTGATCTTTTGCAATCAACGCCATATCATCGGCGTACATGACGTTGTTGATGATAAGATCTCCTATTCGTGGCGAGGCGATCGCCCGGAGACGTTGTGAGAGGTCGTCCATGAAGAGGCTGTAAAGGGTGGGAGAGAGCACCGATCCTTGCAGCAGTCCAGTCTCAAGCCAGTATGGCTTGGAGCTGGTGCCGCTCACCAGGACGGTGGTGCTCACGTCGTCAAAGAGAGCACGGAGGATGCGGACCGTGTGCGCGGGGACGTTCCGGTTCTCGAGCTTGGGCCAAAGCAGCTGACGATCGACCGAGTCGTAAGCGGCCTTGATGTCCATAAAGGCAATCCACGGAGTGTGTCCGTCGTTCATCATCATTTTAACAATGGTGTCGAGTGCAAAGACCTGGTCCAGGGTCCCTCTGTTGTTGCGGAAGCCTCCTTGGGAGATGTCGATGGCGCCCATCTCCTGCTGCAGTCGGCTGTGAATGATTCGTTCAAAGACCTTTCGGACGACCTGCAGAAGCGATATTGGCCTGTAGGTCTTGATGTCGGCTTCTTCGCCCTTCTTCTTCCAGATCGGGTGGTTGGTGGCGACATTCCACTCTCGAGGAACGACGCCGGTCCATAGGCACCAGCTGAAAAGCTGACACAGCCATTCGGAGACGTGATCTGTGACCGGGTGCAGGAGCTCGGCGCTGATCCCGTCCGAGCCGGGTGCCTTGCGCTTGCCCGTGTGCTTTATGGCAGACCGTACTTCATTTGCGGTGATTTCGTGGGCACTGGTTCGGCTGAGCAACACCTCTCGTGGTAACGGGGTGTTGTTTTTCTCTTGGACACCGTGGCGACTGGAGACATTACCAAAGTGCGTTCGGTATCGCTCCATGCTCTCCTGATCGTTTGGGAGGATCGACTGGTTGAAATAGCCACTCCTGATCTTGTTCCTCTTGCTGATTTCTTTGAGCAGATCGGTGTCTGATTTGGTCGAGAGGGACTGCGCCCAGGAGTTGTAAAAGTCTTGCTTTTGTATCCGGATCCGTTGTTTCAGGACGCTGTTCCAGTGCCTGTAGTCGGCCATGGCCCGCAGCTGCAGCCTTGAGCCTTGCGGCAGCTGGTTGATCAGTCGATATGCCGCGTTCCGTCTTCTCTTGGCATCCGCCATTTCCGGGGTCCAGAAGCCGTTTTGTGGGACCGGGCCGTTTTTCTTGCGTTTGCAATCACGATGCTGGCAACCGTTGTGATGTGGTTTTGGATGATATTCCACCCTGACTCGACGAGGGCCACGGCTGCTTCGTACGCCATTGGTCCATCTTCTTGCGGCAGCCGGTTTCCCAGCCGAGTGATCTGCTCGACGACTGTCGGGTGATGTTCTTGTATGGCCTCCGTGTACTGTTCGAGCATTTCCGGGTCCTCGAGCTTTTTTGTCCGCCACACGAGGATTGGTGGCCGTTTGGGCTGCTTCGCAACATCCCACTCGAGCTCCATTGCCACTATGCGGTGGTCGGAGTTGCACGTATCGTTGAAGTGGACCAATGCCGACTTGATCTGGTTGATAAGGGCCGTGGACGCAAAGAACAAGTCGAGGACCGAGTTTTGCGTGTTTCGTCCCCTTGCGACGTGGGTCCAGTGTTGGCCATAGGGATTGGATGAGTCGACAAACTTCAAATGGCCTTCGTTGATGGCGCTCAAGAGTGGTCTGAGTCGGCCGTTGTATATTTCTGTATCCCTGGTCATTCTTCCCATGCGGGTGTTGAAGTCGCCCATGATCACCGAAGGGATGGGAGCGTCCGTCTTGGTGGTGTTGTTTTTGATCACCGAGACTGCTTCTCTGAACTTTCGCAGTTCAGTGGCGTTGGCCGAGAGTGCAGGTCTGAGGTAGAAGGAGCCAAAGACAATGCCTCTGAAACTGAACCAGATGCTTGCTTGATGAGGTCCTACGTGGAAGTTGCTGAAGTCTTCGAGGTTGGTGGTTCTCGGATTCCGGATCAGGGCGATTCCGCCTTTGCCTCTTGCGAGGCCGGTTTCGTGGTGTAGTTGGTTATCACGTGAGTCTAACACACTCAAGGTCTCCGGTTCGATCCCGGACGAAACCATTCTGCTCCGCTAGCTCAGTTGGTTAGAGCGTGGTGCTAATAACGCCAAGGTCACAGGTTCGATCCCTGTGCGGAGCATTTTTGCTTCCCTTCTCAGTTTTGCTCCATTTCGTCCATATTCCCATCCATTTTGATTGCCACACCCATTCCACTGCTGTTTTCACATTCCTACTCTTGTTGTCTGCCTCCCTTCGTTCCTCCGTCTCTCATCGATCATCATCCACTCGCTCACGCCAGTATCTCCCATCTGCCACAGCCTTGATCCATCTCACTGCACCTCATCCAGGCTCTCCACACCGACACCACTGCACAGACACCATCCCCAGCCACGGCGAATGGCATTCCATTATGCACCGAGATTTTCAGGTATCAATCGATTGAACAACCCTGTCCTGGTCCTCGCTGCCATTTTCACCACTCGCACCACTCGCACCACCTGTCCTCTATCACATACCCAGCCAACCCACCATCGACTGAAACAAAGTTCGTCGAGACATGTATCCATCGAGCCATCCTATACAAGCCATTTATCCCCTTGAATCATCCATATCCTCACCACTTGCAAATGCATCGAGTGATGGCGACTCCTGCCCAGTTTTTGGAGCCATTCGTTTCCCACCGTCGTGAAGCCTCACATCCAGCCAATCAGCCCTCGGCGCTTGCCCACGTTGTGGGCTGCAGCCGGCTCATCGTGACCCCTCCTTGTCGGTGCTTTTCGCATCATTCGATTTCGGGTCCTTTGTTGCAAATCTGGCTCATTCGACTCCATCGATCGCGCACAACCCTGCGGCGCATTGCCATCGCCCTCACAAGCGCCGCGTGCAATCCAAAATTGGTCGTGCATGCCCATTCGGTCCTCATGGGCCACACTTGCACTCTCGCCAACGTGCTCGGCAATGGCCGTTTTTCGTCTCCCCCCCCCAAACACCATCCCAAGTTGCTTCAAATTGCCTCGACCTGGCCTCGCCGCCTGTTGTTCGTCGCAGCGTCTCCTGCTCCAAACGGTCGGTCTCCCTGGCCCAGACTCGGACCTCTGGGCACCGTCCCGTTTTCACGCCTGCCCCACCGTTTGCCATGGTGCTGACGCTCATTGCTGTGGCTGGGCTCTTTACGGGCCTGGCCCACCAGTTCCCCGGCAGCCCGTTCTTCGCCGCCGTCCAGATTCCTCTCCGTCTCATCCAGGCTATCCAAGGCGTCAAAGTGAATCAGCAATGCTGGACCCTGCTCGCCAACAGGTCTCTCGAGATCTTCCAAGTACTGTCTCAGCACCAGTCCAGCGACCCAAACTTTGCCCAGCATATCCACCGCCTCGGCAGTTTCTACCAAAAGATCCACGACTACTACCAGAACGACGTCGAGAAACTCAAGACTTTTGACAAGATCCTCAAGGGCCAGGCTATCCGTCGGCGGCTTGAGGACTTCAGCAACGAGCTCGACAGCACCTACCAGAGCGTCATGCTCGCCCTCGCCATCGGCACCTCAAACAAACTCGATAGGATCGATCTCGCCGGGGCTATCCGCCAGGACGAGGCCAGGGAGGCCCAAATGTTCCAGAGCATTAACGAGCTTCTCGAGCAAAACAACACGAGCCTCCTTGGCGAATTCGGCATCATGCTTGACAGACAGCATGAATACCAGATCCGAGCCATCACAGTTGCACTTCAGAGTGCCCTCAGCGAAGCTACCCTCGACCAGATTATTGGAAAGGCCATCAACCCGCTTCTTCAAAACCTCCAGCGCTGCTCCCAAGCATCCAAATCTGTCCAGCCAGAGTCTTGGCGCATTCCTGCCGAGGCCGTCACTGACTGGTCCTCGACTCCGATCGCCCACGGCGGCTTTGGTCAGGTCTACACAGCCACATACTATGGCTCTCCTGTCGCCGTCAAGCAGCTTCTTACCAACCATAGCGAGGACGAGATCAAACAGTTCCGTAACGAGATCAACGTGTGGCACAAACTCAACCATCCCAATGTCCTTCCCCTCCTTGGCGCCTGCGACACCACCGAGAAGCCATTCATGGTCTCTCCATTCATGAAGAACGGCACGCTCCGCAGCTATGTTTCAAGCCCGCACGAGATCCGTCCCCTCGACGAGAAACTCAAGCTCATGTACCAAGTCGCCTCGGGCATGGCCTATTTGCATGAGATCAATGTCGTTCACGGTGACCTCAAGAGCGACAACGTCTTCATCGACTCTGGATACCACGCTGTCCTCGCTGACTTTGGCATGGCCTACACCAAGCGAGCCTCCGTATCCACCAGGATTCTCGACAAAGGCCAAGCGCCGAGCGGGACGTTCGAGCTGATGGCACCGGAGATGCTCGGCCTGGATGGCAAGGATCCCGTGGGCTCAAACCGAAGGACGGACGTCTATGCCTATGGCATGACGCTGTACGAGGTCCTCAACAACGGCAAGGTGTGGATGACAATTGACGGGCAGTTGATGAGCGAGCATGTGATCCAGATCCAACTCAGGCAGCACAAGCGTCCCAAGCGCACCGATGACCTTCCCGACAATATCTGGAACCTCATTGAGCTATGCTGGAGCCAAGACCCGTACAAGCGCCCCAAGTTCACTGAGATCGTTACGCTTCTTCAAAGCTATCGCGATTACTCCGCACCGCCGGCCGTTACCCAAACCGGCTCACTTCGTCCCTCGCTTCGTCCCTCGCTGCAGCAAGAACTGGCGTCTGCGGCTGTTGCTTCGCCAGTGGCACTGCCAGCTCCGAGCCCCTTTCTCTCGTTCCCCCAGGTGCGAATGCCGGTCCCGGAAACCCAGGCGGTCCCTTCAGCAAGCCCCATGATGCTGGCACAGAGCCCCATGATCTCCATCGATTCACACGACTCTGCGCCACAAGATCGCCGGTCCATCCCAGCTCAGCGCCATGCCAGCCTCTTACCAGGCCAGGGCGGGCTCAGCGTCGAATTCCCAGGATTGGACCGCAAGCGCTCCATGACCCTGCCGACCATCCATGTTGACATGTCGCGCCAACACTCAGAGGTAGACAGGACCTCCATTCAAGACGTGCCCCGTCTGCTTCAGGTCAAGGCCGACAACGGCGATGCCGAGGCTGCTCTCGAGGTGGCCCAGATCATCGCTACCGACATGCCTGTCGACAGCCCTCGCTGGGACCAAGCCGCCAGGTACTTCCAAAAGAGCGCCGACGCTCTCAACATCGAGGCATGCTTTGAAGTTGCCTGGCTGCACTTTGTAGGCCTTGGGCTCCACAAGAGCGACCTCGACGGCTTCAATTACTGGAAGGAGGTTGTCCGCCGATCCGCCGATCCAGCCTTGCGTCATATGTCGCTGTACATGCTGGGCTGGTGCTCCTTTCTTGGCCGTGGTGCACCCTCCAACCGAGCGGTGGCCACGGAGTGCTTCCGGAGCAGTGCTCAGGACGGATTCGTCCTCGGCGAGCAGGCCCTTGACTTTATGTGGAACCAAGACGTTGACAAGATGCAAACTACCTCAGCTGTCGCCAAGCGCTTTTTCGAGCGGTGTGCTCTGCTGTCGCCAAGAGATCCGCTTCTTGCCCATCTGACGGCGGCATGCTTGCTCTATGGATTTGGCACTGCCAGGGACCAAAGTCATGCCCTCCAGATCCTTGAACAGCAGTCGGACCAGGGTTTCCACCCCAGCCAGGCGCTTCTCGGATGCTGCTACTTTTACGGCTTTGGAGTCAACCGAGACCACCGCACCGCGGCACACTGGTTTGCCCGTGCTGCCGAGCATGACAATCCGTACGCTCAGGTGAACTTGGCTCTGTGTTACGAAAAGGCCTACGGCGTCCCCCAGAACTTCTCGCAGTCCACCGTCCTCTACAAGCAGGCTGCCGTCCAAGGGAGCGCCGAGGGCCAGCGCAACCTCGGTCACTCGTATTTCTACGGCCGCGGCACTGCTAGAGACCACGCCAAGGCAGTCGAGTGGTACCGGCGTTCGGCCGACCAAGGCAACGTGGAAGCCTGCGATGACCTCGGCCAGTGCTTCAAGAACGGCCTCGGGGTGCAGCAAAACTACGCCAAAGCCATCGAACTGTTCAGCAAGGCCGCCAAGGGCGGAAATGTGGCTTCGCTCTATCACATCGGGCTCTGCTACTACTATGGCCACGGCGTTGGTCAAAGCTACGAGCTGGCGGCTCAGTTCTTGCAGAACGCCGCCGAAAAGGGCGACAACAATGCCCAGAACAGCCTGGCGATTTGCTATACCAACGGCCGCGGCATTCCAGTCGACTTGGTCAAGGCCGTCGAGTGGTTCCGCAAGGCGGCCGAGGGCGGCAATCCCGATGCCATGCTCTGGATGGGCATCAACTATTCCCGCGGACACGGCGTCATGCAGGACAACAACGAAGCCAAACGGTGGCTCCTCCGTGCCGCCGACAAGGGCAACGCCAAGGCTCGTGAACTCTACAGCGATTTGATCCAGAAGGAGATCATGGCGAGCGACGGCCGAGGTGCTCGGCAGAACCCACCCCGAGCAGCCCAGCATAACAATAACAGGGTCGCCCAAGGCAGCGGTGGCAGGAACGAGGGCAATCCTTTTGCACGACAACCCACTGTCAGCGAGACCCTGCCTCGCCTCCATCCTTAACACCACCTAGCGCCCAACCCGATGATGGGTCCGTGCATGTATGTGCATGATATGGTCAGTACTGGGAATAAAACAAGACATCCTGTCCACTCTGGAACACTGCGCGCAGTCCTGGACACACGACATCGGTGTCGATTGCAGTTGAGTTTGATATAAGAACCGATAGGGGGATGCATGGATAACGAATGGATGCATGGATTACGAATGGATGCATGGACTACCAATGGATGCGTGGACTACAGGCAATCCAATAAAAAACGGGACACCCGGGTTTTTGATCATTCATCGAATATTTTGTTACCCAGTGTTATCGCGCGCTGGCCATGACCATTCGCCACACATCCGACTTTCGCACCGCCGCATTGCGATGCTACGCCCTCATCCATAGCCTGCGTAAGGTCGCCTCCATATTCAGTGTATCCAAGAGCACCATCCATCGATGGCACCGAGGATGCAAGCTGGATGACCCACCCAGAGTCCCAGCTCGCAGATCCACTTTCTTTGAGCAGGCATGTCCAGTCATTCGCACCCTGATTGAACAGGACCCGTTCCAGACTGGTCCTGTGTTGCGATGCAAGCTCGAGTCCATCCTCCAGAGGAAAGTATCACTCTCACTCTGCCACACTGCCATCCACCGAGCAGGTCTCTCACACAAGAGGGCAACACACCTCTACAAGTCCAAGCGACTGGATGAGCGAGTGGCACAGTTCAGGGACCAGGTCCGCTCCATCGACCCGCGGCGATTCGTTTTTGTCGATGAGACAGGGATCAGACGAACCACCTTTCCGCTCTACGGATACTCACCGAAGGGTGCTCCGCTTCGCCAGCGCAATCACATGAAGCACAAGTCTGTCTCGGCTGCATTTGCCATCAACCACTCTGGTGTGCTGCATCGCATGTACATCCCCACATCATTCAAGACACACTCGATGGTCGAGTTCTTTGAGCGAGCGACCTTCCCAGACGACTCTGTGGTTGTGATGGACAATGTCAGCATGCACAAGACAAGGGCTGTCCTGGACTGCATCGAGCGCCGAGGATGGTCAGTGATCTTCACCCCACCTGCCTCGCCCGACTTCAATCCCATCGAGAACTTCTTTGGGGTTGAGTCCCCATCAATTTTGGGGTTGTCCCTCCAATCACGCCGCCATTTTCACGCTCAAATCCCTGGCTTGAACCTCTCGGCGATTTTTGAACAGGGTCACTTCCCCAACCAGCCCGCAACGACGGGCTCCTGCTCTCGGGTATAAATGCCACACCTTCGTCCCTGCTGCTTTCTTCCCTCATCTCGCCTTGATCTGATCATCGCGCTATTGTACGATAAAAAAAAGTCTCTGCTCTGACCAGTACCACTGGCAGGCACCCAGCATCCTCTGCCCCCATGCCTCCGAAGCGTAAGGGTACCGGTGATGGCCAGCCTCGGCCACCCAGGCCCAAGAAAGCCAAGTCACAGTCGGAGCCTGTCTCTGGTTCGTATTCTGACCCCACGCATGCTTGGTCGTCTGTTGCTCCGTCGCTCACCACCACTGCTTCTGCAGATCCAATGGATGTCGATCCCACCGAGCCTGGTCCATCTACTTCCTCGAGTACCGGCAAGCGATGTCGCCAGTGCGATGGTACCGATCACGAGCGAAGCAACACCAGCAAGTGTCCCAAATACCGGCCCCTCAAGAGTTCTGTCGTCCCTCTCGTGGATGGAAGGTCATCCGCCCCTCAGTTCAGCTGCTTCAAGCAGACGATGGATGGCTGTTGTCTCAATCCCGCTCTCCGCGACAAGATCCAGGCCACCGTCGAGGCCATGACCCAGATCCAGTTCGAGGCATCCAGGCTGCTCAACCTGCACATCCTCCGGTGCATCGAGCAGGATCTTCCCGTCCCCGTCATCTCCAAGTCCACCCCTGCTTTCGTTCGCCAATGCTTCAAGATTGTCGAGGCCGATGCCCTCTCCCCGACCGGGGACAATGAGAAATACAACGAGCATCTGGTCGATTCCTTTCGCGACTACCAGACCACTCGGCACGCAGACCTGCCTCCGGCCCCTCGTCTGCCTGATGGTGCTCACAGTCAGCTTCTCACCCTGGCTGTCAATGCCTATGCCACCAACTGCACCACCCACCTCAACCTGGCCTACTGGAGACTCCTTCGCCGCTTCTGCGCTGCCGTCTTCCCAGCCAACAAGCATAAGCACGAAGCCATCGAGGCCTGTCTCGAGCTCTTCGAGAAACCAGGGCAGACTCCACCCAAGGCCGATCTCGAGTTCCTCTATCCCGAGTTTGGCCACATCCTGGACGAGTTTCGGTACAGCAACGACCAGGACCGCTTCCGGGCCCTCCATCGCCTCTCACACCATGTGAGAATCCTCGCCCGAGACAAGATGGTCGACAATGTCCACAAGTGGATCGACTGTGACATGCCCGCCCTCCGAGTCACCGAGCTGCAGCGCCAGGCCAAGCTGGACGAGCTCACTACCCAAGGCATTCCCTCCGACGACAAGAGGTTCACCAACGCCAAGTCTGAGCTCGGCACCACCAAGGCCAAGATCAACAAGCTGGCCGCCAGGATCAACTGGGCACCCAAGCAGCTCGCCGTCGACACTCCTCCGGCCGTGTGCACGATAGTTCCTCTATGCACTGCAAGGGCCAAGTATGTCAAGATTGACACGGTCACTCTCTGGGAACTCCTTGGTCCAAAGAAGCGCCTTGGACTCACCAGGGACAAGCTCAAGGAACAAGGTGATGACGGCATCAACAACCAGGATCGTCTCTGGCGCAGTTGCTTCAAGCTGCGTAGTTCCCTCTTCCAAGAGCGGGACGTGAACAAGAAGCTGTTCAACTACGAGATCAGCACCGATGGCATTGGATGCACCATCGGTCTCGTCAAGTTTGTGCCTCGAACCGATCACACCGAGACCATCGAGCCTCCTCCGACTGCCGAGCAGCGCATCCAGGCCCACATCGGCGACCCAAACCCCAACCGCACCACTTGGATTGGCATCGATCCTGGAGTCGGCTCCATCTTCACGGCGGTCATCCAAGCACCGGGCCACCAAGACGAGGTGGTCTCATTCTCGAATGGCCACTACCAGCACATGTGTGGCCATACGTCCAACACCAAGTGGCACAACACCATGAAGTATCGACTCAGCATCGAGACCTGGATGTCGACCACTCCCTCGCCCAAGGTGTCGTCCTCGGAGGCTTTCAAGGTCCATCTCACCCATGTCCTGCGACCGGAGCTGCGAGTGCAGCTCGACTTCCACCTTGGCAAGAAGGCCCGTCACCATCGCTTCACGGGCCACAAGAGGCGCCAAGTGGCCGTCGACAGGATGTGCAAGGTCGTCCTGAAGCACGCCCCGATACGGACCGATGTGGTGATCGCCTTTGGCAATGCGTCATGGCGACAGGGCAAGGGCTATGCATCCAGCCCTCGGAGGCAGCGGTTTGCTCGGTACTTTGAGCAATTCGAGCACCACCGACGCCGTCCCAATCACCATCATGGAAGCGTCAAGGTGGCCTCGACGAACGAGTTCAACACCTCGCAAGTGTGCTCCAAGTGCCTGGAGCCCTCTCGGCTGGGGGATCTGAAAGCGCCCAGTGTTGCGAATTCCCACTTTGTCAGGAGCTGCAAGAATCCCAGCTGCCGGACAGTGTGGAATCGCGACGTCAATGCGGCGCGCAACATGATCACAGTATGCAGGTCGATTGTGGAGATCGGAGAGCGACCGGCGGTCTTCACTCGGAGGCTGCCAAAGTGATCTGTTTTATTTCTTGTGGCTTTGCTTGACGCAAGCATAGCACATACTACCTGTTCATGGAAACGGCTATATTGTCCCGTTTTTTTCTGAATAAAGTGTAAGAATGCATGTATATTCAAGATCTGGACCAAAGTAACCGCTGGCCCTGACAACTGGTCCTGCTTCGGTTTTGGACCGTTTTTGACAGAGCTACACTGGCCCGCGAGAGGAATAGGAAAGAGGTTGTGGGAAGACATCGTGGTGGCAGAAACCTTGGTCTGTATACACTTAATCCAGGGGGGAAATGGGACACCACACCCGCTTCCATGAACATGTTGTGTGTAATGGCATGTGCCTAGCAGAGCCATAAGGAATATATCAGATCACCTCCGAGCAATGACCACCAGCCGCTCTCCGGTCTCCACAATCGACCTGCACGCTGGTCTCGGAGCGCCAGCGGTGAATAGTGCTCTTGGACACGTTGAATATGGAGGCAACATCCCTCAGGCTACGGATGAGGGCGTAGCATCATAGCGCAGAATGGCCATGGCCAGCACGATGGTATTTGGCAACAAATTATTCGGTCAATGATCAAAGACCAAGGCGTCCCGTGTTTTATTGGATTGACTGTAATAGGGGGCTGATGGGATTGAGAGGCTTCAGTTCGGCGGTGGATCTGCAAGAACTTTGTAGGCGTGACGAGTGGTTGTCCTGGTGACGAGCGTCGACTTTGAGTGATCAAAGCGGCGATGAGAGCGTCTGCGGAGCACAATGAATGCTCCGATGGCGAGGGCTGCTATCACCAGGGCAACTACAACCCACAGCAGTGGAGATGACACCGCAAAGAAGGGCGGTGCGGCGCTCGAGGAGCACTGCAGGCCACCAAGGTTCCAGATGTTGACATTGGCGGGAGAGCACTGAGGCAGCGAGATGGTTCCGGTGAGGTTGTTGCCAGAGAGATCGCTGTGTCGACAAGGCCAAAGCCGATGTGCAGGAAGTAGGATTCAAGATGCAGAATGCAGCAGTGTCAGCGGATATCATCACTATCGAGCTGCGGCAAGCGGCGCAAGCAGTGCAAGTGTGGGAGCCTCACATCGATGTCAGGTTCGTCACGGACGACAGGTCGAGGGCAACGCTTCCCGCGAGGTTGTTCGAGTCAAGTTGCCTGGGAATCGAAGCATGGTATTGTCAGCCGCCATACGACAAGGCAATGGAGCGGCTGCCAGAGTCCTTCGGCAGCGAACAGGCGAGCGGAATGATTCCTGACCAACACGCAAAGCAGACAGAGTCAACGACGGAACTCACAGAGTCTGAAGTTTCGCCAGCGACGACAGCGTTGCAGGTGGTGTCCCAGTCAATTGATTCCCAGTGAGGACGCTGGTGTGATTCGACACAACGAGATTCGTCAGAAGGAGCGATGGGCAAATCATCGAACGACAGCTGGGCGGATGGAAGCCGACATTCTGTCGGCTGGCCTGAGCGCCACAAAGAACTGGGAATAAGCTGCCTCGGTGTTTGGGGGTCGCTCCTGTCACCATATTACATGGATTGCAGGCTGGTGATGTTGCCTATCGAATCGGGAATCTCTCCAGAGAGCAGATTGTACTGCAGCGAGCTGTGGAGAGCAGAGGCGCATGTTGGTCAGTACAGAGCTGACCAAAGCGCCCGTCGGCAGCGATGACACCCAACCACAGCGACGATCGATATCCACGGCGCCGATCGATAGCTCCGCCGATAATCAATCGCCTCGACGTACATCTCGCGCAGGTTAGGCAGCAGTCCAATCTCCCGTGGTAGCGAGCCGTTGATGTTGTTGTTGTGGAGGTCGCTGGTCGACCGCAACAGATGTCCGTCGACAGGGGCAAGGGTATGGATCACAGTCCGAGAAGTGAGCAGAGGATGTTCAATACGAGCCAAAGTCCGCGCAAGCATCCAGTCAGCGGGCATGGTCGCCCGATGGATGGCGATACCCGGTTCGCCCCGTCAACCATAGTTCACTTGGATTGGCCACATGTCCGACAACAGCAGGCCACAGCATTATCACCCACAGGACTCGGAGTTCGGTCAGGGTTGCTAGTTGCGTCGGAATAGAGCCGTTTATGCTTCGGCCGGATACGACGCTGCAAAGACGGAGGCAAAGGGTCAGCGACGACAGCAAAGCCAGCAGGCGGCCCGAGAGGAGGTGGATGGCGGCGATCGAGAACCTACATCATCAAGACTCGCCCGGCCGAGTCGCAGTCGACCATGACGGACGACGGGTCGCAGCAGGGAATCGACGGCAGCCAGGCCTGGATGACGGAGCAATCTGGAGAGGTGGCGTTGCTCATCTCGATTGTTGGAAGAGGTCAGCGCAGAGCAGAGCCTGGGTACGACACAGGATATGGAGTTGGACGAGAGACGGATGGGTGCGTCCGTGGATGAGGTCGAGAATGTTCAGCCCGGAGCTGGACAGATCGAGAGCGGGACAGATCGAGGGCAGCTTGGGGACAGATCAGGACAGACGATGCGGGAAGCTTGGCGAGCCGACCGGGAACATACACCGGACGAACCGCCACCGAGGGGCCGTGCAGGCGCTGCCGAGCAGCATGAGATGGGGCACTGCAAACAGTGCACGACGGACCCAAACGACCAGGAGCCGCAAAGTGTATTGAGATCAAAAGCAAGGGCGACGCAGACGGAGGAATGGGCTGGGCCGGGCCGCAAGCCCGAGCGAGGTGAGTTCGAGCAGCTCGCATGTCCCTGCCGCAGCGATCGCCGAGCGGATGCAGTGCAGAGACGGTGTGGCCCAAGCCATGATTAGCGCCACGACGACGGCAGATCGAAGCAGCACAACCACGGCAAGGACGGCGGCAATATGGGGAAGATCGACGATCGAGGCAACTCAAGCCTGGACCCGCTTGGACGACATCTGGGGACGGTGGACGATGCCGACCTTGAGCTTGTAGGCGCGCTGCTTGCGGAGCCAGGCTCGATAGTCAGCCACCGACTTGACGTTCTCGCCATAAAAGTCCGGCATCGGGTTCTGCAGCGAGGTATTCTGGGTGGTTGGGCGGTGCTTGGCGATGCGGTCAAAGAATTCTCGTTCGCGCTGGCAAGCGGATGGGAATAGATCGAGCAAGTGTCAGTACCGGCAGCCTCTAACAGATCGGTTTTGGATGGACGACGCTGCTCCGGCAGGGCAGATGCGAAGGGCGCTAACTCACCAGATCCATACCCTTCAGGAGCTGTCTGTTGGTCGAGGTTGAGATCGAGGCAGATGAGATGTCAGATGTCAGATGCATGCAGTGTTGGAAAGTGCATCCGCGGCGGCGAGACGACAGCGGTCGCTCCCCCGTCATCGTGGTGGGCAAGTCCATGATTGCAGAGCCAATGCACTGATCAAGATGGCTCTATCGTCGCCATGCCGATGCCATGCCGATGCCACCGCCAAAAGCAGGGCGACACCAGGGCACTTCTTGCGAGAAACGCCTACTTGTTGGTAAAGAGTCTCCAGATCGATCCGCCGCTGAGGAGAGAGAGGCCGATGCCGCATCCCGTGGCAACAAAGATGCCGGCGCTGTAGGTCACCATGGGATCCATGTCCATGATCATCTTGGTGGGATCGTAGTCGGCGATGGCAAAGACGTAGATCGATGCGGCAAAGAAGGTGACGGAACCACCTACGGCGGCGGCGGCGATTTCGGCATGGGACTTTGACTTTCGGAGCTCAAAGTACTGCTTCCAGGGGATGGTGGTCTGCGAAGACGGCCTCGCAGCCGACTGGGCTGAGCGGCTTGCTGAGCTCGAGAAGGACAGGGCCAACGTGGGCGCCCGGGAGCGCAGGGCCTTGGCTTTGAGTTGGAGGAGGGGATTGCAGCTCGAGACGGCCGGCGCAAACGACCGGCAGCGGAAAAACAGCTGGGACATCATGGTGAGCGGCTGGATGAATCGAGTTTGATCGATGTCGAGATGGATCTGTGTCGAGATGGATCAGTGTCGAGATGGATCACACTATCAATTTTTTCCGGCCCGCTCGCGGCTGCTCATCTCGGTCACCTGAAAGTCACGTTGTATGTGGCGCAGCAAAAGTTGGAATCCGGCCATGGTCGGTTGACGGCATTTGGTATCACCTTGAGCCGATTGACGGTGGTGGTGGGCAATTGGTGTGGAGGAATGACCAATTGTATCATTGTTGGAAGCTCCACTCCGATTGCGGACAAGAACCACCACCATCTGAATCTCTCTGGTTGGAAACCTAGTCAAGCGTGGCTGTGTGTCAGCGAGATGACATGATCGTTTGGCTATCAGGCAAGACTCACCTTGACAAGATGTCTTCCCACGACTGATTGAGCGAGCGATGCGTTTCTGGATCTGAATCAAGGACGCCACTGCGCAGTATCTCTGCCAGCCCAAAATGCGCTGGTTTTGAGGAGATTCTTTCTTCCCCAAGGGCAGAACCAGCCATCGCTGCTATTTTCTCGCCAGATGGCTCCCAAGAGAAAGACACCCCCCGATCCCGACCCGGGATCACCCAATGACTCTCCTGTGGCCAAGAAGCCCACTATCAAATCGTGTCCCTCCTGTGGCCTGGCCAACCATGTTAGGCCCTTCACCAAGAAGTGCACAGCCAGAATCGACAGCAGCCCTGCCTCGGTCGCTGAAATGGTCAGCCAAGCACCCAAGGTCCCTGTATGTGCCACGTGCAAGCAAGAGGGCCATGCCAGAAGCAACACCCCAAAGTGCCGTTTCTATAAGCCACTCTGGAGCTCTACCTTGCCTGGCTGTGGCCCAAACGAGCAAGTCAAGGCCGACTACTCCACCGTCAAGTGCACCCTCGACGCCATCATCAAGAACGATGCCTTGCACGACAAGATCGAGGAGACTGTCCGAGCCATGACACACGTGCAGTACGAAGCATCTCGTCTCCTGGAGCTGCATCTCAGGCGGTGCTTGGACGAGGGCATCACCCTCCCCACCGTGTCATCAACTACACCTTCGTTTGTTCGAAAGTGCTTCAATATGGTGCAGACAGGAACAGTGGGTGTCAGGACGAACACCCCGGAAGATGACAGGCACCTCCTCGACACATATGAGCTGTATCGACGTGCATGGGGAAAGTCGTGTATCCTGCCTCCTGTGTCCCTCCCAAAGGGTACTGGCTCACAGGTCCTTGGTTTGGCTGTCAAGACCTATGCAGTCAACTGTGAGACCCACGTTCTCGATCGGTATTGGTCTCTCCTCCGTCGATTCTGCAACCTGGCCCTGATTGCTCCCAAGGATGTGAAACGGCACACACACGTCGACGATTGTATGAAGCTGATGGAGAATCCCCTCTCCAAGACACTCCTCGTTGATCTGAGAAAATCCTTCGCCCACCATGCCGACCAGTTGTATGAGTTTCGGTACGAAAGCCACCAGGACCTGTACAAAGTCGTACCAATTCTGGCCAGTGAGGTCTCTCGCCTGACCCACCTGAAGGAGGCCCTCTTCATGGTGGTCTTTCAGAAGATGATCATTCCCAGGCTCGTGAGGGATACCGATGTTCTGAAAGGAGAGCGTGAGCGACTGAACGAGGAGATGTGTCAACCCATCCACCACATCGGGGCTGACAGACTCAAAGATCTCCAGACCCAGCGTGATGAGGTGGACAAGCAGATCACCATCAACACGAAGCGGATCAAGCGACTGACCGATCGACTTGCCCAGACGAAGAAGCGACACAATGTCCCTCGAGCACAGTGCACCTTGGTCCCGCTCTGCGATGCCCGAGCCAAGTATGTCAAGCTCGACACCACAGCACTGTACCAGATCCTTGGATAGCAGACTGGCACTGGTCTCAAGTGGGACGACCTGAAGACCAAGGTCAATGGCACCACAAAGCAAGAGACCTTCTGGCAGACCAACTTCAAGCTGGATCCGAGACTCTTTGGTGCCAGGGAGAAGGGGAAGCAGCTCTTTGGCTGCGAGATCACCACCGATGGGGTCGGGTGCTCGATCACCACACTCAGATACAAGATCCTGAAGAAGGACCCTGATGCCAAACCAGAATCCGTGGACAAGGACGACAAGACACCCAAGCTCACTCCCGAGCAGAAGATCCAGACCAGGGTCGGTCCCATTGACGACTCTCGGATCACATGGATCGGGATCGACCCTGGTGTGGGATCGATCTTCACCGCTGTCATTCGGGCACCCGGTCAACCATCCATCCAGGAGCAAGACGGTGTCAAGGTGACCAAGGCACAGCGTGCAAACGAGAAGATCGTGTCATTCTCCAACAAGGAGTACCAGCATCGATGTGGCACCAGCCAGGCGACCAGGTGGATCCAGAGCACCCACAAGATCCTTGGTCTGCAGAAATGGATGAGCACCACACCAAGTCCCAAGATCCCTGGAGTGCCTTCTTTCTTGCGATACATCTACCATGTGTTCACTGGAGACATGCTGGAGAAACAGCTGTACTTCAGCCTGACCCGGCGACGGCGATTCAAGCGACTCGATCTCCACAGCAAGCGACAGCGCACCGTCCACGAGATGTGCAAGCAAGTCATCGACCAGGCACCAAAGGAAACCGAGGTGGTGATTGTCTTTGGGAATGCCTCGTGGAAGCAAGGGAAGGGATACGCATCCAGTCCCAGGAGACTCAGGTTTGCCAAGTATTTCGAGCAGTTCCACCATCACCAGAGACGACCACCAGACCAATCCGTCTCCAAGATCCATGTGTGCTCGGTGAACGAGTTCAACACATCCCAGGTGTGCTCACATTGCCGGGAAGCCAAGCGACTCGAGAAGGTCGAATATCTTGATATCGAGAAACCACACTTTGTCCGGAGCTGTGCAAGCTGCCATACGCTGTGGGATCGAGACATCAATGCAGCCAGGAACATGATCTCGGTATGCCAGTCGATCATCGCCACAGGAGATCGACCGGGTGTATTCAAGACTGTGCTTCCCAAACCAACCAAAACCACTCGATTGCCAACGAAGTCAGGAGTGCAATGCCATGGCCTACCCGCTGGGCCTACAAGTCAGTCAGCGGGCTTCAGAAGCCAGAAAGTGACTGTCCCGTTTCTTTCTGGATAGACTGTAAGTATCTTGCACTGTTCCTTGAGTATTTCTACAGTGGATGCCGGGTCGCCCATATTCTGGGCAGTCCACTTCGGGGTTGCCATCCCTCTTGGGATGGTCGATGGGAGGTGTTTGACTCCCTTGTGCAAAGTGTGTGTGTGTGTGCAAAGTGTGTGTGTGTGTGCAAAGTGTGTGTGTGTGACGGCGAGAGGCTTCTCGCCTTCCCTCGGGGGTCTCTCGCCAGAGACTGCTCTTCTCGCCGACCGAGGTGGCTCCGAGAGCGCGTTTTTTCGTTCTCGCTCATTTTATTAACAAGAAATTTTTTCATAGTGTCAGTGTCGAGTCCAATCTGATCGGCAACGGAGCGAGGCAGTCACGTGTGTAGTTCACGTGGCAGTGCAGTCACGTGGTCAACGGCCAAGGCCGAAACTTCGATCCGGTGGCGGACCTTTGGATTGCTTTCAAGCCCTGTCCTCGTCCAACACCCTCGTCGCTCGACTCATCCACGGCCCACCGTAGACCGTCGCTCCGGCCCGCACCCCTCGCCCGAACTCTCCATTTCGCTGCCTCCTCTGCCATGGGCGGCCTATTATCCTGCTTCGCCACCGAGCTGGTATGTCCCGTCGGCGGCTCATCGCCCACAGCTGTTGCGTCAGCGCAGGTCGCAATTCATCTGCTCGCGCAGGCGGCTGTATCCACCATACATTGCAGCGGACTCAGCGTTTCTGTTCTTCCCAGGCATGCTGTTTCGGCAAGGCAGCTTGCAAGTGCTGCTTCAGCATCTTTGGAGCCAGAAGGTCGGCCAGACTTGATTCTCAGACGCTGCTGCATCGGTCCATCGAGAGGGGCGTTGCGGGTGCTTTCTCATCCCGCCGCATGCCAAGACCGCCGTTACTGATCCCACCGAACCCCTGTTCTCTGCGGTGGCCATCCGCTCCCGCCCCGGTTCCTCGGTCCCTTTCGGCTCTCCAGCTCCATTGCCACCCGCCTGGGCTATGCCAGCATGTTCTTGCTCACCGCTCTGACCTCCTGGATCCTGCTCACCGACTGGGCCGGCAAGAAGCTCGAGTCGATATCGTACGGCTATCTGAAGCTCAACTGCCCAGAGGGCTCATGCTACGGCGTGCTCGCCGTGTATCGGATCTGCTTCGCAACGTCGCTCTTCCACCTGGCCATGTCCGCGCTGCTCTATCGGGTCCAGTCCTCTCGGGACTGGCGCGCCTCCTTCCAGAATGGCTTTTGGGGCATCAAGCTGCTCGCCTGGCTCGGCCTCGCCATCCTCTCCTTCTTCATCCCAAACCCGTTCTTTATCGGCTGGGCCTCGGTCGTCGACATGCCGGGCGCCGTCATCTTCATCCTGATCCAGATCATTCTGCTCATTGACTTTGCATATGTCTTTAGCGAGTATTTGCTTGGTGAGTGCAATGGATCCCTCGCTGTGTCTGCATTGCCCGGTCGTTGTATGCGACCCTTCATTCCCAATGCGAGGATATATCGGACGATTGTTGAGCGTGGCACTCATCCATGGTCGCCATTTGCGTCTGTCTGCTGCGTCACCATGGCTAACACAAACTGCCATGCGGCACCCCTGTCTCTCAGAGCAATGGGAGGCATCCGAGAGCAAGTGGTGGCTCCTGCTGCTCATCGGCATCACCGGCTCGGCATTCATCGGCACCATCGCCCTGACCGTGATCATGATGCTCTGGTTCGGCAAGGGTGGCTGCGGCCTCAACCAGTTCTTCATCATCTTCAACCTCATTCTCTCTATGATCGCCACGGGTGTGTCGATCCTGCCCTCGGTGCAGGACGTCAACCCGCGCTCCGGCCTGGCCCAGGCTGCCATGGTCACCATCTATGCCACCTATCTCATCGGCAGCGCACTTTCGAGTGAGCCGCTTGAAGAGTTCAACGGCCAGTGCAGCCCCAGCAACGAGCAGATGACCAACTCGACGGTCTTCCTGGGCACCATCTTCACCTTCCTCGCTTTGTGCTATTCAACCTCCGCCGCTGCGACCCAGAACATGGCCGGTGGCAGCGCTGACGACGGCTCGACTCTCCCCCTCGTCGGCGGCCGCGACCATCTCTCCGATGCCGTCCAGGCTGGTGCCATCTCTTCCCGGGAGCTCCATACCTCTGACGATGATGACGACGACGATGGCTGTGACGACGAACGCGACGGAGTCCAGGTAGGCGTCGAAACGGTGTACTATGCCGTCAGCGCACCGAGGCACAGGCGGTCGCCCTGACTCCTTGTCGCGACCAAGCCCATCGATCCCGGACCGCCCGGTCAATGGGGGATGTGACTGCAGCGCCAGCTAACCCAATCTCCTTGTGCAGTACAACTATTCGCTCTTCCACATCGTCTTTTTCTTGGGTGCTTGCTATCTGGCAATGCTCTTGACCAACGTAAGCACGCTTCCGCACCCGTCCTGCATTCCCCTCCAAAGTGCTCTACATCACGGCCGATGCTGAGCAGAATCGGCGCAGTGGCTATTTCCCTCAACACACCATCCACTTGCAATGCTAACACTCACGAGCGACGCTCTATCGCTCCTTATTTGGCCGCCACTGGTACACCTGCAGTGGAACTCGGTCAATTACACCAACAAGGACGAGATTGCCACCGTCGGCAAGAGCATGGTATCCGTCTGGATGAAGGTCATCTCGAGTTGGCTGGTGCTGCTGCTTTACATGTGAGTCGTCGCCGCACGCCTGTTGCAATCGCCGTTGCGATCTATCCCGCTTCTGTCTCGCTGCGGAGTGGCTCACCAATGACCTTCTTTGCAGCTGGACTTTGGTCGCTCCGATGGTCCTGACGGATCGGGATTTCTAGGCACAAGGCAGGTCGGCACTGGTTATTGTCTCGGGTAGGTCCCTCGACGCTGTGCCTCCGAACTGATCAGACATCAAGCTCAATCACCTCCCCCTTCGTGGCGACACTGCACTGCCTGCGAAGGTCGGGCGACCCTGGCGTTGTGGGCTGGTTTTGACGATGTGCAAACCTCCTATACTCTACCCTCAGGAGAATGCGGGACACTGTTCCGTTTCAGCTGAGCATGTATGTAGTTTTTGAAAGCCCAGGTCCATTGAATAAAGAAATACCTCGATAATCCCCGAGTGAGGATGGCGATCGCCCTCTTTGATCTCTGCATGCGCCCTCTCTGGTCTCTGCAACCATGTCGCTCTTGGACACACTGGATATGGAAGCATCCCTTCTCCGATGGCCATGGATCCGAATCAACCTGGTGTCCCGTTGTTATTGCCCTTGTCGTTTCTGCCAGTGGCCCAAGTCCCTAAGCCCATGGATGACGCTGGTCTGTGGTGCATGTGGGTGTGTGATTTACAGCAACTAGCCGAACAATCGTGTCATTACCACCGTGGCGACTGCTTCTACTTTTGGCAGAGTGAGCGTCCATGCTCGATTGCCCAATACCACGGGCCGAGTCAAATGCCATCGATCCTGTTGCTGGTGCTTCTTCGCGGATGGGTATGCGTTGAAGCGCGATTTGAATCACGAGCCTCCCAGAGTCCACTGACAGAACCAGGATGATATCAATGTCGGAACATCAGCGGCTTCGCTTTGGCATTGCACCACTCCCGATGATCGCGGTTCACGGCATTCGCTTTGTCATTACCTGGAAGATCGATCCGTCTTCCGCTCCAACACTGATGACCGTCGTGCCGTCCTGCAGAAGCACCAAGTTGGATATGGGTCCGCCGTGGCCAGGGAACTTCTTGAACTGGGGCTACAGAGACCACTCTGTCAGTTCAGCACGAGTCGCTCGCAGTGCGTCGGGTCGCTACAATCCAGCGCCATGAGCACTTACCGCGGGGGTGCAGGCTGGGTACCGAAAGAGGAACACATCTCCGACAGTGGTTCCGACAAGCAAGACATCATTTCGTCGGCGTCGCTCGCACGACGTGACCTGCAAATGCCATTGCCATTGTTGTTGTCGCATGTGAAGGAGAGATGTACTCAGCAGCAGCCGTGCGGTCGATCGTCGTCGGCAAGCAAAACTCACCATTCGTAGCCCCAGCTGCATCTGGGTGCTTCCTGGTCCGCTGCTGGCTGGGAGCTCATAGACGCCTTTGGTCGCCCACTGGAGGACGCAGTTGGTGGTGTCCCAAATCACATCCTTGAATGCCACTGTTCCTCCCTTGGATGCTCGCTCCGTGTCGATCGTCCCTGCAACAAAAATCAGCCATCGCATGGATGAGGAGCCAACGAGGATCGTGCTGCCCAAGGCCCGACAAGCACATACAAAACATGATCTCGTTGTTGCCGCTGTTGGACTGCAGCCGGATCGAGTCAGCGCTCCAGTCGAGATGGGTGATGAAGCATGAGTGACCCTGCCGTCAGCGAGTCGAGGCATGGGAGTCGAGGCATGGGAGTCGAGGCATGGGAGTCGAGGCATGCGAATGAGCCAGGTGTTAACCTCCACGACAGCAATATTGTGAGCCCACATCCATTTAATTGCGGGCGGGAGGCTATTCAGCCGATGCAATCATCAACCATCCAACCAACCCGACCCATCGACCAGCTCGCTTCCATATACCCCTCCTGTCGCTCCAAAGCACCGACGTACCCGACAGCACATGATTCTTTGATAAAACCCCGTTGGTGTCTCAAGCGCATAGATGTCGATAAAGTTGTCGTGGCAGCCCGCAGCCAGGTACTTTGAGTTTGGGCTGTACTTGAGGTCGTGGATGGCATCCTTGCGGTGCTTGATCGAGATTTCAGTTTGCTTCAGGTCCGGTGATGTCACCACAATCTGAGCAGGCGAGAGACCCATCCGTTGATGTCGGGATTGACAAGAGGCATCGAGGTTGGGAGGGAGGAGCAAGAACGCATCTGTTGTGAGATGGATGACTGCGGTATCCTATAGCCTCGCCCATATGTCGCAGGATACTGTTTGACGTGTCTGCCTACCAGTCCATCGTCTGTGCCTATGGCCACCACCGAGCCGTTGGGATTGTAGTGGCATGCCCTGAGTTTGTTGGGAAAGTGTCTTCGAAAGACCTGGCTCGTCCGCAAAGCCATAAACGGTAAGCCAGCCGCCAGCAACATCGTACAGACATGCATCGGCGCTTTAGCGCAAGCCGCCCTGCTTGCTCCCGCGACAGCAAACATACCACACACTGGGCTTGAGTGCTCCACACTTTGGCCCAGCCGTCATCTCCGACAGTGATAAACTTTGTAGCCTCGATAGGATGTGCGGCCAGTCCCCAGACTTCCCATTGATTGTCCGTGCAGTGTCCCTGTGTAAACCAATCAACCGAGCCATATGTATCAGTCCCGAGCCTCTCCACCAAGTGCAGCAGCCAAGCCCAGCAGCCCCGTGAGATGCGGCATCGCTCAGCCCAGTCGGCCATTCGCCTCCACTCACTTCCAGGAGAAGGGTCCGGTCGAGCTCGTTCATGTCCAGTTCCCATATTGTCGAGTCGCTGCATCCAACAATCACCGAGACACTCTGGAATTGGTGCGGGTTCCGAACATTCGACGGCTTTCGACCGGCGTTGCCCTGGGGCTGGTTGAAGGTCGACGTGCGCGACAGGCTCGGGAACAGCGACGACGTGCTTTCATCCGGGATCGCCGGCACCTTGGATGACCGCCGCGGAGCTACACTGAACTTGCGGGTCGCCGACCGGGAGAGCAGGCCCGACGCTTTGCCCTCCGAATCAAAGTAGCAAATGTCCAGCGACCGGATCGCCCGAACCTGCCCCGGGATGGGCGGGATGCTCTCGAACGACACTTCATTGACCGGCTGGAGGTGCTCGTTCCAAACAACCACCCGGGCGTCGTCGCCGCCAGACAGAAACGAGTACGGGGCTGGAACAGAGACCATGGCGTACACGGGGCCCTGCAGAGACGGTCATCATCTCTCAGCATCAGTTACAACATCACCTCGGCAATGTCGATCCGCATACACTCGAATCTCATGGCCTCCAGACCCGGCCAAGCACCCCATTCGGCAACGAGGAAGCCATACCCTGTGCATGCGCCGACAGACGACTTGGATAGAGTTTCTCTGCCAAAAGTAAATGTCTCCAAAGACAGATCCCGTGATGAGCAGCTTGTGGCTGTTGAAGATACCTGTGAAGAAGGTCTGGTGTACACACGGGAGCAAGGATGTGCGTTGAATACAGGAATACAGGGGAGGGGCGAGATGAAGTGGCCAGTTGCAATGCTTGCTGCCTCAGCGTACGGCAACATCAGCATGTGCATACCGGCGTGCTTTCTTCTGCTATCGGGGGCTTTCCGTCTGCCCAGGGGAGTTTTCCCAGCAGCGGCTCGATAAACGACCACCACTTGATGTGGCTGATCCCAACCGTCGCAAACTCCCGCTTGGCCCACGGATTGGCAATGACCCGAAAGATCTACACGATGGAAGGGGACAGTTCACACAGCGTGAGCTCAGGTCAGATACTCGCCAAGCCTCTGCAAGCAGGATCGAGCGCTCACAGTATCGCTGTGTCCCATGAAGGATGTAATGGGAAGGGACTTGCGCCGCCAGTCAAAGAGGTGTATCTGCAGTATCGACGTTGGTTAGTATCCGAGTCAAACTGCCTTTGCTGAGCATGCCAAACGCTGGAAATACAAACCAATGTGCCGAGCTTTGTGCTGATTGCGCAGACCAAAATCACACCATTCTTGATAAACGTCATTGCGCTGATCCAGGCATCTGGGTCATCTCTCGGCGAGTCGTCGATCGCCCCTGGCGAGCTCCCCGTCACCGTCAGCGGGGCTTCGAGAATGCCCAAGATCTCGCCGTCCTCGCGAATGTGTATCTCTTGCCCCGACGCAGTGGCAATGATGGTTCCTCCGGGATGGACGCATGCCGTCGTGATGAGCTGTGAGTGAGCGTGGTGGTCCTGCGGTATCGACGATACCAACGCCCGTGGGCCCGAGCCGGCTGTCTTGGGTGGAATCGCAGCCGTCACGGAGACCTTGGAGGAGAGAAAGTGGATGTATGTGGATGTTGTTGTGAGTGCCGAGAGTCTGGGCTTGAGCGAGTGTGTGAAGAAAACTGTGTTTCGGTCGTTCGCATGCGCGAATCCTGATGAATGCAAAGAGAGCGTATCCTGGTTAGTTGCGGCCACGGAGCTCGACAATCGACAGTGCGGCATGGTCAGCAAAGCTCAAGCGCCAAGCGCCTTTCTGACCGTATACGTGACTCAGCTCCAGGATCTCGATGGGAGCGGAGGGCAATGGTTCTTTGTATAGAGCTGGGCCAGTAATTTTACTCAGGAAACCGAGATGATTCTGGCTCCCGACAGGGCGATGAGCAAAAAAACGGCACGCCGTGCCGGAAGCGTTGCTGTTAGCCTGTACTCGACGTATCCGAGCAGCAGCGATGCAATGCACAGGGACGATGTAAGCGAAGCAGGCACTCGGGCTGCATACATATTTCATAAACTCGGGGGCCCATTTGGAGAACGAAAACTGGTGGTTGAGCTCTCTGACGATATCTACAGAGTGTTTGAACGCACAAAGGACTGTAAGCACTGATTTGGGATTCCAAAGAGCCACCTATACACTTCTTGATGATTCCTGCAGTAAGTCGAGTCCAAGCGCTCGCAGCCATTATCTGTTCCATCCAGTGCAGGCCGAGGCGGGCAAGAGTCCTCCTACTTTGCGGATTGTCTTGACCTCCATCCTGCGACAGTATGCTGTGAGGCAGGCTCTCGAACTTGCTGCCAAGATCGAACGAGGTGTTGAGATTGGTGCTCTGGCTTGGCCGTTTCTCGGCGATGCTGTCCTTGTGGACCGCGAGCGGCAGGTTGTCATCGTCGTCGGGCTTCTCGGCCGAATTGCTGATATCTGGTTGTGTGCCCACACGCCCCTGGGATTCGTTGCTATCATCGCTGCATTCTTCGCTGCTGGACTCGTCCAGAGAGTCGTCCTCGTCGTCATCAAAGGTGATCTCGTCCTTGGGTGCATTCGTGCCCTTCTTCTCCTCTGCCGACTGCGAGTTGAGTTTTTGAATCTTGGCTTTTTGCTTCAGCCGCTCGATCCGCTCCTCGTGCGACAGTTTTCGCTGTCGCCCTGTATTTGACGTGCTGTCTCGGGATCCTTCGCTGGTCTGTGAGGGAATCGGACTGGGACTGCGGTTGCTGCTGATGTTGCTGGAAGTCGCGAGTAGCGGTGTGTCTCGTTTCTCACGCACCTCGACGGTTCCTGGCCGCGTCGGCGGCTTGACTGCAGGCAATTTCGTGCCCAGCGTCGGCTCGACCAGCGGCAAGGGCCTTGCGGGCGGTTGGGTATCTGGACGAGCCTCATCGCTGCTTTGCTCCTTGGCCGGGAGAGGCCGGCTCTCGGAGATTTTGCGTTCCTCGCGAGCGTCAGGCTTGGGTTCCGGTGTCGGCTCGGGATTGACCCGCAGGAGTTGCTTGGAGTTGCCCTTGATGCTTGAGTGCTTGGGCAGCTTGCTTGCCGAGCCACTCTGGTGAGTGTCGAGGGTCTGGTCATCCCTCCGGGATGGGAAGCAACAAGACATGATCGTTGATGCCCAGGGTCGAGGAACAGGTCAGGGTCGGGAATCAGGTCGGGGTCGGGAGCCGGGCGAGCAGGAGCTATCAGGACCAGAACGAGCGCAAGGGATATCAGCCGAGCCGTGGTCGAGTCGTGGTCGATTCGTGACTGAACGACGGCAGCAAATATCTGGGTCCGTGCGAGTGAGATGTTGCAGGATCAGCGTGGGAATGTGGCCGGAATGTGCGCCGGGAGGGCTGCCCACAGCGTCTGCATTCGTCAAATGCTCGCGCAGATCTGTGCGCCCTTGGTGCCCTGCCCATCACCGGCCCTCTCAATCCCGAGTGGCTCTCCTGTGCTTTGCCGCGGATCCGCTGCGAATCTGTCGCCGTCGATATCGAGCGGCCGTTCGATTGGCTGGGTGGGGCATGGAGCGGCCGGCCGTCACCTGGGCCCACGTGGCAAGTCCCTGGTCCGGCGGACTGGGGTTGCTGCTCTGGCTGAGGTGATTCACACAGCAGCCAAGGTCCGTCTGCGCCGTTCACAGGTCCATCGCAGGTTGCCGACGCAAGAGGGACACACTGTCTGCATCGAGCTGCTCTGACGGCCCCCTCGGCTCTTTCTCTCTGCATTCACGACTCACCAGCACCTTGAGTTGCCCGCACGACAGCGATTCGGCCGCCATTCCAGACACCCAGGTTCCCCAAAGCGACCTCTGATTCGGCATTGCACAACGACCACAGGGCCGACACAAGCACACTGACGTCTGCACCGCCAGGGGCTGCCCCAAAGACCATCAGAGTCCCTCGATCGCATCTTCTACAGGGCTGCCACGACCGGCATTTGGGCTTGAGCCACACTGTCGATTCAACATTCGCATTGCCAGCCGCTCTCCTCGAACACAGCTGGCCTACACAACCTCTCCGGCAACACAAAGCGGCATTAGGCATCTGATTATCCCAAAACAACACCTGACGTTCCGATGAACAGCACCTCGGCCATGGAAGGGGTCGCTGCAACACATCCTCTCCACAGCGCCGGCCACGGCTCCAATGCAGATCCAAGCCAGGCAACTATCTGGAACAGAGCCCTGCCCTACGACACCCTTCATGACCAGGGCGTGTTGCTGGGCGAAATCAAGACCGGGCTCGCCGTCTGTCTCGAGGCCGCAGACCACATCGGAATCATCCACTGGGTGGTCCAGCTCAGCCATTTTCTCGATCTCAAGTACCGGCTCTCGTACCAGGACCGAGCCGTTTTCGTGCAGATTTTCACCGATCTGATCGTCCTGCCCTCGGTCGACAGCGCTACGCTCGAGAAATACATATCAATCACCTGCAAGCTTCTCAAGTGAGTCTGTCGTCGCAACAAAGCCTTGCCCGATCTCACACTTGGCTCTGACAGCTTTATCCTTGCGCTGGCTTCTGCTTACCCAGGAAAGACGATCACATACCCCCTGGAATGCTGGTCGTGGAATGGAGGCCCCTCTACGAAGTGACTCGCTCCATGTTCTTTGGAAAGAGGCGAGAGGCTGTTCAGTGCGGCACGGGGTAGGTTTTCGGCAATCCCGAACCCGGATCTCGCTTGGTGCCATCCAAAGACACAGGCACACCGGATCTGCTGCTGATTCTCTCCTTGCCCGGCTCTGTAGGAAGCACGCTGCTGGGTTGATCAAGTTGATGGGTCTGGTCAGAAGGTATTGCTCAGCAGCGACTGTCTGCCATGCTTGGTCTCATTTACATCCCATGTGAACGCACGAGCAGCTCTAACGGACGATTCATCGCATCCGCTCGCAGGTACTTCAAGCCCAGCACCACCGCCGAGGTCTTGGCCGAGTTCCTTCCATGGATCAACATTCACGACTTTAACCGGAGCCTCGGCGCCCTTTCGTTCATGTGCCTTCTGCTGCCCACACACGAGGCGCCGCCGCCCCCGGATGGCTGGGACCCGAGCACCACTCCAAAGTTCTACTGGGTGCCGACTCTCTTTTCCCTGTGGCAGCTCGTGGCCCATTCCCCCGCCTACGATATCGTATATATGGAGATTCTCGCGCGGCTGGCCGTGGACCAGATCGCGACACCCTGGAATGTCGGCTGGACGGCCGAGCAAGTGAAATACGTCTTCAGCTGCGGCTTGAAAAACACCGAGGTTCCCGTCGGCAGCAGCACTGTAGCTTCGACCAACGTCTCGATTGGCCAAGGCGGGTCAGCTGCGGGAGCAGCTGGATTCAAGATCGACGTTGCTGGCGGCGCAGCAGAACTCTTTGCAAGTTATCGCAAGGTACCCTGCGCGGCGTCCGCGGGACCACACAATGCAGTGTGTTGTCCTCAGGTTTCCTCCTTGCCCTATCTATCCGGTACTCGATTTTAACCTTCGTTCCGGTATCGTCACTCTGCCTCGCTAGTCCAAAACAGAGATCTTTGCGGCGTACATTGTCAACACCATGTATCCGTCTCTGTCCAAAGTCGACGACTGTCCCGCAGCTCCCGCCACCAACAGCATGTCCCAGCTATCGAAGATGATGCAAGCCATCGAGAGCTTCTACCACCCCTCCAATACCGGCCGATGGACCTTTGATCTAGCCTGCTTCGCGCAGCATCTCGCGAGCGAATTCCTGAAGCGGGTGCGAAAAGGTCAGTGGTCCTGCATGTGTCGGCGTCGCTCTCTGGCTATCAGACGGAAGGGCATGATAGGGGCTTATAACTCTTCCGCATGTCCGATTCCTATGCGTCGCCTGGTCCTGCTTGTTGGAGTGGATTACTCCACGGATCTGTGATGCTGACAGTCGAGAGCACCCCGACTCAAATATCGTGACATCTGTTCCTCCGTTCTATCCTCCCCTTCCAGAGCAACGCCCGGATTGCAAGACCCCACAGGCTTTCTGCCTCACGACGGAGATGAAGCGCGAGTTTGTCCTTATCCTCCGCGGCGTGCTGTTCCTGAGCATGTTTGGCAAGGACCGCTATGCAGTCTCGGCCTCACATACAGCACTGAAGCATCTCGCGTGGATTGAGCCAGATCTGATCATCCCTGGACTCCTGGAGCGCGCATACCCGGCGCTGGAGAACTTGACCGAGGTGTGTTTTGCGATCTGGGCAAGGTCCTTTGTCCTGAGGCGGCGGGAGACTCTCTGGCACAGAACCCTGTTTCATCGCTGGTCCACTGACTCCTCGATCGCCACAGACACACCGTACCGTCTCGTGCATCGGTGCCCTGTCTGCTCTGGCTCTCCCCCTCATTTCTCGATCGCACTATCCGCAAGGCGCCAAGCACATCGCCTCTCTCCTGCACCTCACAATCCCTGGCATCGACATCAACGACCCGATCAAGACGTTTTCGTCGCTCATGTTCATCAACCACGCATCGATGTGCATCTCGTTTATCGACATGACCAAGGGAGCACCACTCGACTTTTCCGATCCATCGATGGTGTCTGACGCAGACGAGCAGAATGCTCTGTGCAGAGAAGCCACTGCCGAATTCGAGCCCTGGCTGCTCAAGTTCCTCGACCGTGTTTTCAGCATGGTGAGTGGCCATCTTGCCCCTCCTGACCTCTTTGGCTTTTCTCGTCGTCGACTGTAGCCTACGTGAAGACAAGCATCACATGTTCAGAGTGGAGGATATCTGTGCTGGATAATGTCCGCACGGGGACCTGGATGCCCTGTTTTTGGTCTCCCAGACAGGATGGTCAGCTCTCGTACTCACTGCTCCTCTCTTGTCGTGAAATGCGATTTGCTACCCTTGTCCATATCCAGTTTGAAAATCTGCCTCAGCAATACGCCATCCGCACCGACAAGCAGACTCTCGAGACTTCGCTGATTCAGATGCTCTTGGTATGTCAGCTGGCTCGTAGCCACTCTGCTGAGCGCACCGTAGCTTCCGTGACTCTTGTATTAACAGGCTTCTGCATCGTTCGCTGATCGTCTTTCGCAGTATTCCTGCGAGCGCGTGTTTTCGCAGCTCTCCGACGACCTGCACGCCGTCGCTCTGAAGAAGATTGTCGAGTTTGTCGAGCTGAACGTTATCCCCAACGCCACGTGTGCTATCGGTGAGCATCTTGAGCCATGCTGCGCGAATTTGAGCATCTGCAGCGGCAACTGGTTTCGGACAGTTTATCTTTCGATGTGTCGCACTCTCGATCAATGAGCTAACAGCATTCACGATGACCTCGCTTGCACGTCGGCAGGATCGGTATGTGCCTCGGTTTCTTACGGTGGCCGGGCCCGCGCCCTGTCCGTACTTCTCCCCCTCTGCGAACGCAAGATTGTCTCGGAGCTCGCCGAGCACGGCGCCAGCTCCATTTCGACCGGCGCGAACGCCTCGTCGGCATCCTCGACGACACAGCACCCCTTTGGCTTTGCCACCATGTCGGACTCGACATTGCACTGGTACCAGTCGATCATGTACAGCATCGTCCAGAACTCTGGCAGCATCGTCCTTGACTACAAGGCGAGCCTGATTCGTGTGCTAGACACGAGTTTCGAGCTGTGTCGATCGCGGCGAGGCTACAAGTGGGCCGGCAGACTCTTGCGCAATCTCCTCTGCTCCCTCACACACATTTATCCGCTGGAGGCCCGCAACGTAGATCAGACTCAGTGGGACAGTCCAGGTACGATCGCACTCTGCCGGGGCGCATTGTGGTCGGGCCGCTGCCACGCTGCTCTCTGGCTTCTCGGGCTACTGCTGCTATCTGCAGCGTAGCATATCGCTCCTGGTTCGTGCTTCGCCACTCACACCAAATCCACCATCATTGTGGCCCTGTAGATTACTCCGAACACGCCTATCAGTCTTGGGGCGAGCCAAGCGATCTGGACAACATCAATGTCACCTGGCACGTTCCAAATAATGCCGAGCTGGACTTTGCGGTCGAACTAATTGATCGCTATCTGCCTATGGCATTTGAGAAGCTGGATGCAGCCGCTCACGCTGCGACAGAGTTGGCGCATATGAAGACCAACAAGGAGCAAAGCAATGAGACACTCAAGTGGCTGTGCATCCTGCGATGTATCTTGCATGGAATGACCGCCCTCGTCGACGACTACTCAGCAGAAAACCCTGCTCCATCGGCCAATGAGTTCCACGAGTTCATCGAGCGCGAAGGCCATCCGATCGACGGACCGCCTTTGAGGCGCCAGACCGTGCAGAGCGGATACTGCTTCCAGGACAAGAGTGATCCCAGGATGGCCAAGATACTGCGCTATCGCTCACAGGCGTCTGTCAAGCTGCTCGAGTACCTCCGATTCCACCGAACTCACAACGAGGATGAGATCGAGTTGATTAAAATCGTCATCAAGTGCTCCCGTATCCTGTACACCGACCGCGGTGTCGACAAGACCCGATACGACAACCTGCAGCGCGGCTACACCTACGGCAAGGCCTTTATCAAATCCGAAAGCGACGACAAAAAATGGCGCCCACGCCACATGCTCGTCAAGCGGGCCTACATGCAGCACCTATTCCGTCTGCGCCACAATTCGTGCAGCGCCCAGCTCAAGCGCCACAAGATCGACGGCGTTGATGTCCTGGAACAGACCGTTCACGAGATCTTGGAGTGCTGCCTGGGCAAGTACGCCAGCGTCCGCAAGATTGCCCAGTCGGTTCTCACGCGCATCGTCGTCTGCTTTACCAGTTTCCGATGGACCGTGTTTCCAAAGCTGCTGCATGAGCTCGAGAGCGAGTCCGCGGCGGGTGCCACGGGAGGAAAGGCTGCCGCAGCCGGACTGGCCAAAGCATTGCTGGCACCAGCCACCGGCACGGACTCTCCCTTCCTCGACCCGCGACATCTGCGAGCTCTTGCTGCAGACGCCAGCGGCAGCAGCAGTGGTGCCGAGAGCGAAGGAGAATCCGATCGGATGAAGGGCGCTCTGTACCTGCTCAAGAGCGCGACGTTCATCTCGCTGGGGCTCAAGTCCATGAGCCTTCAAGCGGCGTTTATGGTTGTGATGTCGAAGGCACAGCATCAGGAAAAGGTTCGTAGCTGCTGCTTAGTTGGCAAGGTGTAGTGTACACAGCATGGCGTTCGCAGGTTGTAGAGCCGCCGCTCAGGCAGACGAGAAGGGCAAGATCCCTGGTTCAGCAGTTGCTGCTGGAGATGGTCAAGCCCGCCTCCAACCCTGTCTAATATCGATCTCGAACCCCACAGCCCACAATCCAAGAACTGCTGCGCAAGGTGTACCGAGAGTTTGTCCTCAAGTATTACACACTGCCGCTGCGCTATAGCCCCGACAACAAACTGTCCAGACACAGCGAGTACGCCTCCTACCTGTTGCGGGGCTGCTCGAATGGAGCGCCAAACGTCGCATCCCTTGTTGCTGCCCTGGAATTGAACAACACCGAGTCGATCCAGTCTTACAACCAGCTGGTGAGTGCTGCAGCGAGCCTGGAAGTGTGAGCGCGCTGAAGTTTATGGCCCATCGATCCAATTTCTGCTGTAATCGCGGATCATTCACGAGCACTTATCCGCCAGCATATTTTTACATTTTGCGCCGCTCAAGATTCCTGACCTTCTCAAGATCCTGAAGGACCCTCGTCTGCACTGGCGATTCGCCACCATTACCACGAGTCTCATCGAGCTGGTTCTTCGCTCGGACCAGCCTATCTCGAAGGAGCTGGCCGAGTTTGCGCTCAATGGAGTCTGCAACGAGCTCCAGACCCTGCGCCGAGCCTCGCTCTCGACTCTGTCAAACATACTGCTCATCTTGAAGAAACGATGTCCTCGCCCGCCGCGCAAGATTCAAGTCCAAGTTGGCACCGAATGGAAGGCCGATGATCCGGACGGGTGCGTTTCAAGGATGCTGTGCCTAATGGGAGCGCTTCCTCGCGGAGTCGCTCTGTCCGCCTTCGTTGTATTGCCCTTGGCTCCGACAGATCACTTGTGCTGACTTTTGGGCTTGCATCGGTCTCGCACATAGCGCCTTCCAAGATAATGGACAGATCGGCTGGTACTGCTGGCCAGAAAGCGTGGAAGTCTACCCAATCAATGTCGGCAGCAGCGATGAACTTCCTTTCAGCGACCCGACCTCGTCTGAGGCCCAAGATGCCATCCAAGCAGCCCTGGGCAGCCCCGAGTTTTGGGAGAGATTTATCAAGTTCCATGCGCAGGAAAAGGGCGGCGACAACGAGACCTTCAGCAACACGATGGCGCAGTTCTACAAGGGCCTGTTCATCAATTTTGAAGATAGGTTCCTGGACTTGCTCAAGCCCAAGATCGAGGGCCTGTGCCAGTCTGCGATGAAGAGCGAGCAGAGGGCCGGTGCCGAGATCCTGTCGGGTCTGATCCGCGGCAGCAAGCACTGGCCCACTGGCCCTGGTTCCAAGACCGAGAGGCTCTGGGCTTGGGTCGTACCCGTTATCCGCAGCACGCTCGCAGGATGCACATCCGAGTGTCTCAAGCTGTGGGATAACTTTTTGAAGTTTGTCAGTGTAAGTTGGGGCTGGGCGCAAAGGAACTGCATTGATTCGCCTGTGGCTGGCCGCGCACAGCCTGATCTGCTTGCCAGACACATGGTGGGCCACTGGGGCTTGACGGCGGCTAGCTTGCCACTCACGATATGGCCACTATTCCCTGACAGAGCGACCGGGATCCGCGCCGATTGAGACCTATTCTCGACTGCGTGTTTGGCGCCGTATTCGATCCCACGTCGCAGTCATTCTTTACTGAGGCCAAGAAGCTCTTCTTTGTGAGGACGGTGCTGGCGACCATACACTGGCGCGCGCTGCCTCATGTCCCGGCCCTGATGCGGAGCTACATGGGCCATCTCGACAATCCATACAAACAAGTGCGCGAGCTGCTGGGCGCCAACATCAACGAGATCACCCAGATCATGTGGCGACCAGGAACACAGAACGTCGATGCCCTGCTTGCTTGGAACGTTCAACACCCCATGGACTTTACTAGCATTGGCCTGTGCGGGTTCGATGGCCAGCGACATGCCGTGTGGGCGCAAATGGATGTCCTCGTAAAGGACGCCATTGAGCAGCTCCGCAGGCTCCGAGCCGAGCAGGCAAAGGGGGATCCTACCGCGCCGGCGTCGGTCCAGTACGTAAACGCCTCCAAGACGGGTGAGTTGATATGATCGACAGCATCGGGCATCGCTGCGGCCAGTAGGCTTCTGTTCCGGTGCTCGCGCGTGATCCGTCGTTTGACTCACTGTTGCTGCTGCTATGGTTCCTCCAGTCCTGGCTTGGCTCGCGTACGGTCTGCGATCCCATCGCCCTCTCGGTCTTTATCCCTACGCTGAAGATTTGCTGACAGAGGTCCTGTACATGCAAGACTGCCCCGACAAGGATCTGCAGGAGCAGGCCGCTCAGCTCACGCAGATGTTTGCTCATCTGCCATACCCGTCTCAGAGGGTGCCCGAGATGATCAAGCATCTTACACAGTTGCTGGTGCAGCCACGAGGAGATGCAGGCAGCGAGGCTGTGCATCCGGTCGGCGCGGTGAGCTGGCACATCAAAGTGCGTGCCCTACCGATGCTCCAGGTGTTTTACTTTAAGCACCTGTTCCTCATGCGCCCGGAGGCTGTAGCGATGGTCATGGAGGCGATCTACGAGCTCTTGATGGACCACCAGGTCGAGGTATGTGTGTCTTGCCCCGACCGTGCTGGCTGACTGCGTTGAATCGCTGTGTTGGATGGTCATGTCTCGTGGTGATGGTGTGAAAGAGGAGGTGCGCTGACGGACACTTGAAACATCGCGCAGGTCCGACAGCTGGCGTCGGTGACCTTGTCGGGCTTGATCCGCTGCTCACAGCGAGATGCCATCGTGGACATCAAGGTAAGCGAACTGGATGAAGGCTGGCCGGCTGGCTGGCTGGCTGGATCTAGCCCTGGCGAGCTCGGCTGTGATCCCGTCGCTCCTGTGTGCTGGCGGCTGATGCCTCGCCTTGGTGGAGAAAAATGATATCGAGTAGATCCATGGGTTGCTGAACCTCGCTTCTCCGCCGCACAACCAGGCTCGATTCGACCGGCTACTAGATATCAAGCTGCCATCCCGCCAGCGCGGGGCTCCGGCACCCCCGGGCTTCGCCGAGGCTGTTCTCCGTCGCCACTCGGCGGTCCTGGGACTCAGCGGATTGGTGCAGGCTTTCCCATACGAGGTCCCCAAATGGATGCCATCGACGCTGGTGCGACTGGCGTCATGCATCACCGACCCCAATCCCATCTCGGTATGGCTGGCTTGTCTTGGACACTGAACTTTGGCGTGTGCGTCGGCAGCGTTGTGTGTGTCGTATGAGGCCTCACACAGACTCGGGCGGGGCCGTGGGATTATGGCGGACTGTACTCATGCTCAATATTTGCGGCCAGGTTACGGTCAAGAACATGTTCTCGGACTTCCGCCGCACGCACCAAGACACCTGGCACGAGGATAAGGAGCAGTTCAGCGAAGATGATCTGTACACGCTCTCGGATCTCTTCATATCTCCAAGTTACTATGCATGAGCAAGCCGGGGTGAGCTTGTGGGTCCGACCATGCCGGGCAAGATTCACACAGTTTGTCTACCAAGAGCAGGACACTCGAATCCGAGAGCGGGCGATGATGCAGTATTCTGTCGTCTACAATACATGCTTATGCACAGCTTACACGGTCAATGGAGCAACCTTCGCTCAAAGCGGGGACCAGACACTTGGAGATATCGAGGGTCAAATTCGAATCAACTGTATTCGTGGAATAGTACACATAGAGATCGACGAGGGAGGGAGAGTAGGAGGAGGGGATGGAAAGCTCGAATCTATATCCCGCATCTGGCGGGAAGGGGATCATTCATTCAGCTGGCCGTTCAGGCGTTTAGAGTCTTATAGAGTCGTTAGGGACACAGAGAGCATAGCGTTCAGACAGCAGCGAACGGGAAGGAGGGAGGGATGGCAAGGACGAGGACCGAGGATGGTGAGCCGCTTAGATGTTCTTGGTCTGGCCGCGCTTTCGCATGTAGGGACGCTGGGTGTTGATGGGAACACACTTGTAGGGCTGGGCAGAAGCAGTGCTGCTGGGAGCGGCAGTCGAAACAGAGTACGAAGGAAGAGCAGAGGTGGCGGAGACAGTGGGAGCAGAGGAGGCACCCGAGACAGAGACCGACGAGACGGTGGCAGAGGTAGAGGCAGTGATGGTGTAGCCACCCGAAGGGGTAGCGGTGGCGCTGGCGGTGCCGGAGACAGTGCTGGAGGTGGGAGGGGCCGGGCCGGGGATGCATCCATCGTAAGAAGCGCGCAGGATCTGGATCGGGCCGCTGACGGACTTGGCATAGACATTGCCCTTGATCAGACCGGACTTGCCATCGACGATGGCCTTGGGGGCCAGGACAGTGCCATAGAAGGAGACCAGGCCGAGGTGGACGACGCTGGCATCGTAAAAGTTCCAGATGATGCGGTTGGCGCTGGAGCTGAGCTGCTGGAAGTCAATGTTCATGACGCGAGGGTCCTTGGAGTTGACGTTGAGGATGAGGGTGCCGCTGAGGGTGGATCCGAAGGTCAGGGTGTTGCAGTTGGCGAGGACCTTGGCGTTGACCGAGACCACCTCGGTGTCAAGGCCGCCGTTGAGAGTGAGGACACACTCCTTGGAGCTGGCACCGGCGGCCCAGTTGCCGGTGGCAGGGAGGGCCGCCAGGCTGGTCGAGAGGTTGCCCAGGTACTGGGAGGCGCCGTCAAAGTCGAAGGGGAGATGGTCGGGGCTGACCTTCTCGGCGTGGCAGGGACCGTCGGCGGGGCGGAAGACGGTGTCGTTCGACGACAGCTCGGAGCTGACGTAGGCCATGGCGCCGTTGTTGATGGTGGAGGGGAAGCTGTTGGGGGGAGCGATCGGAGAGGTGTGAACATGCGGGCCAGGATGGAAACAGAGATTCGCATGGGAAACGATCAACGGCAAAACACGAATCAGGTGGGCGACAGTTCCCACGGTTCGGTTTGCTAGTCTATTGGCAGCACATTCTCTCATGGACCTCGGGATATGCGCATAACAAAGGCCCAAGCTGATGTGGCACGGGGCTTGCTTACCCTCGGACTTCACCACCAACGGTCAGGGTATAGCGCAGACCGGGGTAGAGCTTGTGGGCTTCAAGGATCGAGCCGATCTGAGAGCACTGGGCAGGCTGGGCGCCAAACTCAGTGTAGAGGGCAGAGCCGAAGCCGGCGCCGACGTCCAGGAAGCGGCCGGCGGCGGCACGACCCTCGACAACTGGCAGTTGCAGTGCGCAGAAGAGAATCACAGAGCGGCAAGGTCAGCGCAAGCCGGCACAGACATTCGAGCGGATGGATCGCGGGATGGCCATGCGGTGCCCAGTCCGACGGATCGATCAATCGGCCACAAGGCAAGGATGAAATACTCACCCGACTTGGAGTTGACGTAGTCGCGGCTGGCAAAGAGGTTGTACTCTCCGAGGGGCAGGGTGAACTTGACGCCGTCCCAGTTGGTTGTGGGGCCCCAGAGGGTGGTGCCGGAGGAGGAGCAGGTGGTGGCAGCAGCCGAGGCGGAGGCCAGGAGGGCGGCGACAAAGGCAGACTTTTGAATGAACATGGCGGAGCGACAGTCGACGGCGAGGGAAGGCGGGTGTGGGGACGACGGGACTCGAGCACTGGGTGTTCCTGGACGAGATGCGAAAGACGGAGGAGGCGGGCAGCGAGGATTTATGTCGCGGCGCTTTGGCCGGGGTTGGTGCCGAGGAGGAGTCTGCGTCGCCATGGGAGGGTCATGCGGCACCAACGCGATGGTCACCTGCAGAGGGCAAGGCCGTTGGCGATTAGAAAGCTTGTGGGGCAGCAGAGAGGGCTGGTGTTGTGACTGCCTTGACCAAAGGCCACCCGCCCAGCCAAGGAGCGACTCCACCAATTCGTGGTGGGAAACCCAAATGCTCGTGGCGCACAGGTCGCAAAGGGACAAGGACACGGCGCGCCGGTGGCACGATATACACGGCATGGGGCTGGGCTGGGTGGGCGCGGCCCATTGTGGGTTCGGTCGTGGGTGATGGTGTGCGTTAGTGTTAGTGTTAGTGCTGTGGGTGTTGTGGGTGTTGTGGGTGTTGTGGGTGTTGTGGGTGTTGGCGGGCAGAGGATGTGGCCCATTGTCGCTGCGGCATTGGTCCGCCGAGCAGAGAACCCACTTTGGATTCCATATTGGAACCCCGGTGGGAAACACATCCACATAGCACACATCCACATCCACATCGCATCCACATCGCATCCACATCGCATCCACATCGCATCCACATCGCATCCGCACTGACGCCGTCGTCGTCCAGACACAGGCAAAGGCGCACTGATCTCGCAAGTCGGCTGCACCGACCCGCCGACACATGTGCCATCCAGCGCTGTATCGACAGTGCTTCGTGTGCATGCTGTGTTTGCGATGCGCAAGCCGGGACACGCGCACAGTTCCATCCCACGCTCGTTCCGCGAGACCGTGGATGTCAACAAATCCCAAGGGCGAACCAATCGACCCCGCCCGAGGGCGAAGCGCAAAGGCTGCTGGACCGCGCCCTGGCAAGCGCTGGCAACCAGCCCTCCGGTCGGTTCAAGTCTGGGCAGGGAGCCACCCGGGCCGTCCAAATGAAAGCACATCTGCTCAAGGCCCGCCAGTCCGCCCCATGCCAGCGGGAGGAGCTGCGGCCGATCGCGATGGGCTGCCCATTGGGTGCCGCCTGGCTCGGCTGCCCTTCACGGAGAGAGATGAGCCTATACTGCAATAGAACATGCAGTCAATCTGACCGTCTCGGCGACTTCCGAGTCAAGGCCGCACTCTGTACTGCAGCTGGGACTCATGCAGCTTTTGACAGAGCGGATGAAGGGCTGGGCAATGCAGCACTCGCTCGTCCTGATCGCGGGAGAGCACCAGCCCCGTACAGCCGGCCAGCCCGCCTGACTTGCTTGGCCGCGGTTGTGTCGCGGCGGGCGGAAAGTTGCTGATGGCGATTCGGGCGACTTGCCACTGCCGACCCGGCATTCACACCGCAAAGAAGCACCACACCACCACCCAGTGGGCCGCAATGCGCTGGCGGGAAACCTTTTTTTGCCCCAGCATCAGGAAGTTGGCACAGGCGCGAGAGCATGTGTCGCACATGATTGTCATATGCACTTGCCAGCCCGGTGCCTCGCAGAGCCACAGGCGAAGACTACTCTCGGATGCATCCGCTCATCTCCCCGGATTCCCAACCCAGCGAGACAAGCCAAGCCCATTTGCAGACATGTTTTGGGCAGTGAGATGGATTCGATTGAGATTGGCAAACGACGGATCTGCACCAGCGATTCGGCCGTGAGATGATGCCTGTCCAGCTGGGACCACGTTGTTGCCACCAGCGACATTGTCGGCTTGGTCGTCCGAGAGGACTGCATCTCGACATCGGTTCCAGCACAGCCCAGATATGATTTCCATCCGGCGGAGCAATGTCGCTGTTGCTTCCGTTGGCTCCATGTCAGCGGCGCCGGCGAACGCGGCGTCTCTTGGGCGAGGTCGGGAGGGTGATGGATTGGGCAAGCAGCCACAGATCCTCCAAAAAGAGATCGTCAAAGAAGCCCTCGCTTTCGTCATCGCTGTCGGACTCAATGATGCTGTCGTATCGTGCATCCTGGCTGCCGGGCGCATGAATGTCATCCTTGAGGCGGGCCGCACCCACGGCCGACTGAGAACGCAGTGGTGCTCCTTCCACCACCTCTGTCGCAACGTCGAATCGGTCAGTCTCGAGCAAAGATGGTCCGTCATGTCCACAAGCAGAGCAGAGTCGGGCTGGCCCTCTGCGACTCAGACGACAACACTCACGATTATCCACCAAGGGGACCAAGACACGCCGTGGGTTCTCTGGTCCAGCGGCATTCGAAGCAGTACGCACGACCTGTGCACGGCTGCGGGACGGCTGCTTGGGTGCTGGGCGGGTACGCTTTGGATGCTCGGCTTGGTCCCTCGTCCGCTTCCCAAGAGATGTGCTTGTTGTGACGACGGGGCCGTTGCGTGTCGACGGCAGGGAAGTACTTGGCTGTGCTTCGGGTGCTTGTAATTCAGATGGCTGCGTAGCACTTGGTTGCGTAGTACTTGGCTGTGATGTGCCTGCTTGCGATTTGCTTGGTTGCGATGTGCCTGCCTGCGATTTGGATGGCTTGCTCGTGGTTGCGGATTTGCGCTGGGGTTTGGTTTTGTACGGGACGATGGGACACTCGCCTGGAGGATACCCATGCTCCTTGCTGTGGTGGTAATACGTCGTCCTGCTCACGTACATGCCACCACCAGGATAGTTTCGACAGTGGTTGCATCGGCACACGGTGTATCCCGGAGCGGGAGGCTCTTGAGGAAGGATGTATTCCTGGGACGAAGTTTGCGGTGCTGGGTGTTCAGGACCAGCCGAGCCTGAGGTGCTGCCACGGGAGTGTTGCAGTGGGCGGCTTTGGACCGGAGGGGAGGGAGCGTATCGATAAGCAGGAGGGTGGTGTGCAGATAGAGGAGGATGGTGTGCATGTGTCGCTGGGTGGTCTTGAAGGCGAGCGTCGCTGCTGGGAGGACTGTGTGGTGGAGGGTGTGAGCCGGGGTGGTATCCAGGTGGTGGCCGCCCGGCGAACTGAGCCGGATGAGGGAGTGGCCAGTGATGGTGTGGCCCTGGATGATAATATGGTGCTGGATGATAATATGGCCCTGGATGGTAATATGGCCCTGGATGGTGGTATGGCCCTGGATGGTGGTATGGCCCTGGATGGTGATATGGTGCTGGATGGTGTTGTTGCTGGTATGGGCTGTGCGAATGCATGTGCTCGTCTCGCGGATGCATCCATGGTTGGGAAGGACGGTGAACCGGGTTAGGATTCTGTGGGGTTGGAGGATTGATGTTGACAGAAGAGCGTCGGCTGTTCGTTGAGAAGGCAGGATCTTGGCCAGACGGGAAGGACGAGGGCCGGACTGGGTGTGCTCCAGATGGCAGCGGCGATGGAAGCGGCGATGGAAGCGGCATGGATGCTGCCTCGATTGACACTTGTCCCTTGTTTACAGTCGCTGGTCGGGGTGCAGGCCCTGGCAAGATCAGGGCCACGAGCGAGATCAAGATCAAGACCAAGGGCGAAATCAAGATCAAGCAGGGGGTTTGGGGCGTGGGTCACTCTCAAGAAAAACCTCGCGCGGCTCTCGATGGCCCCGAATGAATCCTGCCGCTTCCGGAGCGATCCGGAGACACCCGTGCTTTGGGTCTCTGCGGGACATTGGCGGTGATACTCACAGGTCGCAGTGCTCGTCGGGTCTATGTGCCAGATGGATCACCAAGCTCGCGGCGGATATGGAAACTGCGATCGTCCCGGTTGGCGCCTCGATCGACCGGGACGAATCAACTGGATAGACCAACCGGGATGGCTCGCCCGCGCCACATGTCCGTTTGCTGTTTTTCGATTGGCCCACGCCGTCTGGCCAACCAAATCGCGCCTGGCTTCGCGAGGCGCGTCGCGTTGCCGTATGAGGAACTGCTGGGTGGCCACACCGACACAGCGCAAGTGTTGCCTGGTGCGACACGCTCTGACTGTGTAACGATCTGTCGGCGTGTTTCCCACAGTAACAGCCGGGCTGTCCCAGACACAACTGCAGGCTCAACTGCAGGCTCAACTGCACAGAAACAGTGCACCTGCCAATCCCACCCATTTGCATTTCCGATCTTGGACAATCAGTCTTCTCCAAGCCCAGATCGACTCTTTCGGATCTTGCAACTTCGTCTCGGTTCGACCTGATCTTCCTGTCCCAGCCAAGGTACGAATCGCTCGCCGCTGCCCTCGCCACACGCACGGCTGCCTGCGCTTCCCGCCGTCTCGCCAGCCCGGCTTGTCTTGCACCATCGCCTTCCGCTGCCCAAGGCACATCCAGCGCTTTCCCCAGCATCGCTTGATTGCAAGCGCCGTGCCAACCGTGCCTCTGTCCCCTCTCGTCTCTGCAGCCTGCCATGCGACTCATCCGTCTTCTCTCGAATCCTCTTTCTCCCCTGCCTCGGCTATCAAACTGCTCCGTGCCTATCGCGCGGATGACCCTTCCGGCGCCATGGCATCTGCGTCCGCTCCTTCCGCGTGCTGCATTTGCATCAGCAGCAACAACAGCCAACAAGATGGTCGCCATCGATCTCTCCACCTACGATGAGGAGCAGGTGCGTTTGTCGTGCTGGTTGTGTGCCGGCTCCTCCAGTCGAGATCGCGCTTGCTCACCTGGGCCAGTGCCAACGGGACCTCGCCTGGCTTGCTCACGACCTGCTTTTGGCTTTTGTCTCGATTTTGTGGCGATCCAGGTTCGCCTCATGGGCGAGATGTGCATCCTGACGGACGACAACGACCAGCCCATTGGTGCTCAAACCAAGAAGTTCTGTGAGTAGCGTGCTTGTACTGTCTGGGTACTCCCGACGAGCCATGCTCGAAAGTCTCTGATATCGAAAGCGCCAGCCGTCCATGAGACTCCTCAATCTCCATTCCGTGCCCTCACATTCTCTGGATTGAGCTTCCTAATATCGCCTGCTGACGGCCCACGTGTATCGGAACCAACTGACTCTAACCTCGCTGCTGGCGCTCTGCAGGCCATTTGATGGAGAACATCAAGCAGGGCAAGGCTCTCCACCGCGCCTTCTCCGTCTTTTTGTTCAACTCGGCCGGAGAGCTGATGCTGCAACAGCGCGCCGACGAGAAGATCACCTTCCCTGGATACTTCACCAACACATGCTGCTCGCACCCGCTCTTCGTCAAGGACGAGATGGAGGTCGAGGATCAGATCGGCGCCCGGCGTGCTGCCCAGCGCAAGCTCTTCCACGAGCTGGGCATCGAGGCCGACCAGGTCCCTCTGGACAAGTTCGAGTTCCTCACCCGCATCCAGTACATGGCCCCGTCGGACGGCCTCTGGGGCGAGCATGAAAGTACGTTGTCCGTTTACCGACTAGGGATGCTGCATGGCACCAAATACTGGAGATGCTGCAGGACACCAATTCCGGAATGCGACCCGTTGCCGTCATCCTCCACGTTGGTCATCTTCCACGTTGCGAAACCTGACTAACCTTTGCACTCGGTGTCCATGCCCCGCGTATTTGCATTTGTGCTCGCTTGGATGCCTCGTCTGCCAGTCGACTACATCTTCATCGTGCGCGCTGATGTCCAGACCAACCCCAACCCCAACGAGATCAAGTCCATCAAGTACGTCACCAAGGAGGAGCTCCAGAACCTCTTTGTCAACGCAGGTACGCTTCCTCACACCCATACCCCCCATCAGTATCGTCCCTGAGCTACTGGCAACTCCGGTTTACACTAACGCTGCCATTCGTCCTGGTGCTGGCCGATCCATTCTTACACATGGCTCCACTCAACCCTCGACAGACAAGGAGGGCCTCAAGATCACTCCCTGGTTCCGCTTGATCGTCGAGACTTTCTTGTACAAGTGGTGGGACAACCTCGACAACCTGGCTGCCATGAAGGACGTCGACACCATCCATAGACTGTAAAGGGTATACCAAGCCCCCCTCCACTTCTCCCCCCTATTGTTGTTCCTTGACCCCCGCAGGAGCGTGGGCGACCTGCATCTGTCATTTTACTGAATAAACCCCCCAGTTCTGCCAAGAGACGGTATATTGCCCAACTGCAACACGGCATCCCAGCCGGCCATCACTGCGGACACGCCGATTTCTTCAACCGAGATGATGCTGTCTCCGAATCAATCTCGAACAACGCAGCATGGTTCTCGGTGCAGTACGCCTCAAAGATATCAAAGGCCCACATGTCCATCGACACGATCCCGATCAGGCGCCCGGCGCGGATGATCATGATTTTGGCAGACTCGCACATGAATGTGTCTGTCGTGTCGTCCGAGATCGTGGGCAGCCGCGAGCTGGACCGAGCACGGGGCATCTTCCTCGGCGCTAAGGTGTGCGACAGGTCTTCTTGATTTATAAGCTGCGCTGACGAAGCCGCCGACCGCGGATTGATGGTGCGGAAACTCGAGTTCTCGATGCTTGTGTCGCCATTGCCAGAGACATCCAAGGCTATCGGGTCTCGCTGCTTGGACATGCTGACAATATTGATGCGATACATGATCAGGGTGTTGGGCCCCAGGTCGTAGATGTGCTGAATGGCCGATCCCATATCACCGCCCTGTGGAGCAAACAGAAGAGCGCCTGTGAGAAGCGATCCTCGGACTCCAATGAAACGCAGCAGATAAGCGGCTTTCGTTACCTCTGCCTCGCGTTGTTCCGAGTCAAGGCTGTCGGTGTTGTCGCTCGGGGTCTTCACCACCACACACCCGTGCGGCAGCAAAACCAAGTCGCTCTCAGCCAGGATCAGGTCCTGCGGCGGTGCCGGCATATCGGCAAACCACATGGCCAGACGCGACTGCACTCGGGCCCACAGGCTGGCTTGGATCGATCGTCTCCCCTTGGCCATGGTCTTCTGCGACGCCATGATCAGGGTCTCTATCGAGACGCCTGCCGGAATCACCTTTGCGATTTCTGCCCACGATTCTTCCTGCGTGCCGAGACCCTGTTTCATCCACTGATCGAATGCGTCCACGGAGAGATGTTGAAGCTGCGAGGCCGTCACGAGGCGCCCTTCGAAGCTGAGCCCAGAGGGCCGGGGCCCGTCTTTGCCGTTCGAAACCAACAGCACGTTGGCCAGCAACGGCGAATACGACACGAACATGAAGCTGCTCAGAAAGATGAACATGCTCGAGCATTGCGTTCCGACAATCAGGTTGATCAGCTCGATCTCGTAAAAGTCAAAGACATAGATCGGAAGCACCACGCCTGCAAACATGCAGACTTGGCAGCTGGACGGTGAGTGAGTGAGTGAGTGAGTGAGTGAGTTGCCAATCGTTAGTTTGCATCGTGCCTCTGCCTCCCTTTTCTGGTTCAAGTACTCTGACTTGATGCCGTCGTTTCCGTTCATGCAGCTTCCAGCGATAGCTATGCTTACATGATCTGCATGATGCACACTTTCTTGAAGCCGCTGGTGTCAAACAAGCGTCGTCAGTCTTCGCGACACCAATTTCGTCCCCATCTCTATCTGTCCTGGCTCGCTGCCAGCCCACAAACAACCACTGCCAGCCCACACACATCCGTGATCTTGGGTCCCAACATGCCCAAGTTACGAGTTGCTATACCACTCATATCCACCATCGCGACACTGGCTCAAGCCCACTCACCGATTATCACGAGTGGCGAGCATGGCCAGGACACCGGCAGCAAACACAAACACAAAGTTCACAACAAAGATCAACACGGCCCCGAGTCCAACTATGCCGCGGTCGTCGAGGCAGGAGCTGTCAAGGTCGTCGTCGGGCAGCATCCCCAGAGATACGCTTATGACCGATGCCGAGTCAATGTCCATATAGTTGTTTAGAATCAAGTGGAGCAATTGAAAGTTGATCTGGCGTGAGTGCGGCGGCGAGTGGAGGTTTCGGGTATGTTGAGTCCGCCGTGCCGGCCGGCCGGCACCATTTTGACGCATCGCCACGATAGAACGCAGATGAGTGAATTGGATCCAAAATGGCAACAAGCCGTGGTAACTGTCGGTGCTGCAGTAGTCCTGACGACGCAAATCCTCTCGCAAACTAGCACTTGTGTTCAGATTGACAGGCCGACACTAGTTCCATCGCTTCCATCCGAGACGTACCATGGTCAGCGAGGTGATTACTGCAACTGTAATGAGGAGGATTGTCTGCTTCTCTTTCATGCCAGCACGATATGCTGCGCCAAACTTGTATGCAACTGGATCCGGATCATAGAAATGTCAGCGAAGCAAGGCGATCCCGCCGTTTCACCGGCCACTGGAGTAATCATCCGCGATAGCAAACACACTCACAGATTCCGTTTGAGACTGTCAGGCTGAAGATGGCAGGCCGTAATAACCGGGCAGTGGTGGCATCGGTGAGATGGTTCATTCGATCCCCACATGATTTGTACGATTGGCTTTGAACCGCTATCATGGTCGACCAAGCCACACGCTCCCGCTGCCGTCGATGCTGCGTGTGTGCCCACCTGGCTGTCAGCGCCACGGCAATCGAAAACTCCAGTATCCAGATGTAGCAGCGTGTATAGTCCGTGAATGTTGTCGAGTAGATGTTGATGACGTAGTAGGACAGACATGATGCAGCACTCGCTATGTTGGACCGATCAGCAGTACCGGAGCGCCACAATCGAGTGAGCGAAATGGAAGAGCATGATCTCCAACTGGCGGTGCGCGGCGTTGAGGCAACACTCCTCTTGATACCGTTCGATCCATTCATAGCCCAATAAACATCACGTATCCATCAACTAGTCGAGGCATGTCTGGACGGGGCTATGTACTAACCCACGACATAGTAAGCCGGGCAGAGCGATGATCGCCGCTGCGGATCCGAGATGTACACAAACAGCATGTACAGCAGCATCAGTCCCGAGAGCCCCATGCCTCCGATGGAGATGTAGCTGATGGACAGGACAAGGTTGAGGCTGACTGCGACGTTAGAGGTCACATAAATGTCCTGTGTACCGAGATTCACCACCGACGGATCGTCTGTGGATCCAACGCGATGATCACGCAGGGTCAGTTCGGGGGGCGGCCGGCCTGGCATCCAAGAGCCCATCGTTATTCAGTATGCGGAATCCAGGCAACGTACTCAGATCCGAGTTGAATACAAAAGAGAAGTTTGATGTAAAGTTCAGCTTCGAGGCGACATAGGCCACCAACGTGTCGTCTTGATCCCGCTGGAGATTCTATCATACACAGTCGGGTTGAACAGCATAAAGGAAGCAACGAATCGTGAGCGAGATATACTTGAGCTACGAGCCGTCGAGTGAGAGACAACTTGGAACGTGTCGACCGCTTTGTAGAGCCAGAGTATCGTGTAAGACTTGCACGCCACGAAGCCGCGATCGAGCTGGGAAAGCAGGCACTTACAGTCCTTTTGATGGTGAAGACGCTGTCGTCGAAAGCAGTTGGCCGAGACAGAGCGATCAGTCGACGATGCAACTCATGCACAACCAACCAAATGGCATCACAGTGACGCAGCTCCCTCCCTCCCCAAATCTGCACATCAGCGAGAAGACTCAAGGCAAGGTTTGCTTACGATTGTGCCGGCACTCCGCCAGCTGATGATTGTGAGAGTGCCAGATGGTCGCAATTAGTAAAATGCGCTAGTGTTATGCACCATATCCAATACAGTGCTCGTGGCCGGATGCGATTGTGTTCATGCAACGCCGTCCCAGACCATTATACTCGGGCATGCCGGGCACGCCGGACACGCTCCATTTGGAGGATGAAAAGTTGTTGTAGGTGATGCTGGCGGCCGGCATGGTGTGGTTGACCAGATCGCCGAAGCTGGCGCCGCGCTTGATCATCTGTGCACTGCGACATCAGCTCTTCATCATCTCCGGCAACATCGCCGCCACCGTCACCGTCAAGAGTATCGTCAATATCAGCAGTACCAACTCACCGAGTCGTATCCGTTGATGATTGAAATGGCGCAGTCGTATGACGTTCTGCGAGTCCGCCATCAGCGGATGGGAATCATCAACGAGGTGAGCTAATTCTGCAGCAGTTCACCGAGAGCTGGATGGTGTATCGATTTGGCCCGTTGCCCGTATATGCTCGTGGACTGCACCACACCCTTTGGGCAGCGATCAATATAGCGTCCTTTGGAGAGGGCCATGAAGAATTCCGCGAACCATCCGCTGAAAACGGCCGATGCCGCTGGTCCACTTACGACAGGTAGTATGGCGACGAGGTGTCGATCACTTGGCCCGTTGTTTGATAGTACGACTGATTAAATCGGAGCCACGCCTTCAAGTTGGTTGTCAGGGGATTGTAGTAGCTCGTTGGCCCGTCGCTATGCGAGTCCAGGCTGTTAGTTCCGATCCGATCTGTAGGCTCATTGCGTCCCATATACGCATTCTTCGACCAAACTTACATGTAGTAATTACTGAGGGCAGGGGGAGTAAATATCACATTTTGCATAGCACATATCAGTCGATTTTGCTCTGTGCGCACGCTTGGGATGACAAGATATGTAGGCTGCCAGGTTGACGACTTACTTGTTGATTGGGATGGTGCTGATCATCTGCGCGGTGTCATCCGATATTTCCGGATTCTGAAACGGGTCCAAGGTGAAGCGCGTGATCCAGATGTAGTCGCTGGTCGTGAAATTGAATTTACTGCAGAATTTGAGAGATTTCAGCAAGGTGACATGCTCGGTGCCCCACTGCTTCTGTCACCAGCAGCCCTCGACGGTCGAGTCGATCATGCAGGATTTGATGTCATACCTCGCCTGCCAACAGAAAATGAGGGATACCGAGTGCCGTCATCGTGAGGGCCCTTATCGAAACAAAACAACTGCACCAAGCCCCTGATATCTGCGGCACCGTTTGTTGCCCATACCGATAGCAGAAGCAGCAAACCTGCACCCAGTGCCGACCGGGCACATCAAGAAACGGCCAACCTGGCCTGTACCTACCGCTGCATACAGTCTGGTGTTGCGCTCCGCATCCAAGAAGCACACCCATATCCTCGGCTTGATTCGGCTGGCTTGGATGAGCGGCAGGATACTAAAGATCTCGGTGTCATCTGTATTCGGTCTCATGAATTGGAAGGAGCCGATCACAGAGACATTGAGGTATTGCGCACGTCCAAGAAATCCCTTCCAAAAGCCCTTGGCGTATTCGTTTTGGGTGCCGTCCTGGAAACGATCGAAAGAGTATGAGTCGGGACCGGCATTGTTCTCTCTGGATGTACGAGGACACAGCGTGGAACAACCGAAGCGGGCCCAGTCCAAGTTTGCTGTGGACTGCGAGTTCCTGCATGGCCGGACTGAGCACTCTTGCAAGGAAACATGCACCGACCACAAAGCAGTAGACATGCTTCCATTTCATCCTGTACACAAACTCGGCCATTGCTAGCCCAAACCAGCACAATCGTCAGTGAGCATGATTGTGGTCAGGCGGAGCGATATGTGGCCAACACACACAAAGCGAGATACAGCATGCCAAAAAAGCGAGCACCGATCCCATCAACCCAAAAAGCACGCAGTACCTGACCCAATGATCGACGAGCGCGGATAGGTGCGAAAGAACAACGGATATGCGGGGTTGGACTCTGATCCGCCCTTCTGGAAGAGACACGAGGTGAGCGAGCTTCCCGTCGAAACGTTGTTGTGCATGCACGGGCCTGTGAGATACGCACCAAGTAAGATGCCCGCGTTGGAGCGCAAAACTTGGTCGAGGAGGGCGAATGATGGTACGAGCGATGATTGCATTAGATGGGCTCCATATCGGTCGCTCAAGGAAGTCAACATTTCGTGCTTGACGCTCGATATGATATGGTAGAGTCCTCATTGATGCTCCGCTCACAAGTCTATGCATGTCTGAGCCTCGAGCCACGGTGGATACCTACCGGCACTTGGAACATCCCGGACATCAGCACCTCGCCGGGGAGCGAGCCCATGGCTAGTGGCGAATCGCCTGGGAGGTGGAGGCAACTGGTCAATGCTTTGATTCCTCGCTCGGGGAGATAGGGATAGAGACGATGCCATCGATCTCTGCTTTGTTTTTGATTTGATCTGTGTTTTGTGTTTCAACACGCCGAGGCACTAACCGATGAATCCAATGTATCCCTGCTTGATAAGGGTCGTCACGACAATAATCTGACAATCCAATGGACCCAAGTCAGGCTGCTGTCCGACTCGACAAAATACAGACAAGGAAATAAACCGCCATGCTTTCAGGCATCCACCGGATGCTGTGGCGCCTTACCCCGTCTGCCAGCGGATTTAATCCTGTTGAGGTGTCGGCAAGATCGACTTCGAATCGCTGGCGGGGTGAGAAGGAGAATCAGGTGCGATAAATGTGTGGGCCTTGTGGGAACGGAAGAGGGCGACGATGCTTTGAGCACTCGTATGCAGCACCGATCAACTCACAATCCCTGGAAGAATGTCGGCCCTGAATACGGCGTACGAAACGACAGTCAGCCCATCAAGCCAGGCGCGATCCGGTTTGCACTGCACATGATCAGGGTTTCAGTGGAATGTCTATTGGGTCGCGGCCGTAGAACCATCTCAAGGGCGCTGTATTCACATCCCTCCCTCCCTCCCTCCCTGTCAGCAGGAACGCCTCGGGCATGAGCCAGAGCACCAAAATCTGCGATACCGACCTGCTGTTGATAAAATCCACTGCGGCTTTGACTGAATAATAACTGCAGTCGCGATGTATGATTTGAACAACAACACGGCGGTGCAAGAGTTGGATCGAGGCAAGCCCACGAGCGAGATCAGCGGAATTGCCCACAGGGTCGGTCTTGTCCAACGATGCTCCGGCCTTCGCCGTGCGCAACAGCAAATGATCGTCTCTCACCTATCGATAGCGCTCTGCACAACATAGCTGCGGAGGCTGGTGACATTTGCAGTCGCGTATCTGATGCCGATGAGCCGCAAGTGCCGCTGTCGAAGTGTCAGCCATCCAAAGACGGCGATGCGAATGACCTTGGTGGTGTTTTGCTTCTCCGGATCGATCGGAACGGGGAGCGTCGACGGTTTGTAGAGCACGACCACATCCTGGATGAGCACGGTGCGGTTCATGAGCTGCCGCGAAGTTCGGCCGCCTGAGATTGCCCGAGACTGGTTCCTGGCCATCGCCGCCATCGCGGGGAGTGGAAGGATTGCACACAGGAGGAGCGCTACTGCAGCGAGGACGACAAAGAGCTTGCATGTCGATTTGGCCATGGCGCTGCGTGCCGGTGCCGATTGTGGTATCCGATAGTGGGCGTGCTGTGTTTG